ATTGAATGGTCAAGTACATATGTGAAAGCATTAGGAATATACTTTTGTAAAAATAAACAGTATGATTATAAAAACTGGGAAACTAAGATAGAAAAAATTAAAAAACTTTTAATTTCTTGGAAGAAACGGAAATTAACAATGATTGGCCGAATACAAATTATAAAGTCCTTACTTATACCACAAATTACATACACCTATTCGGTGCTACCAATAACAAAAACAAAAATAAAAGAAATAGAAGGCATATTGTATAGTTACATCTGGGGAGGGAAAAAAGAAAGGGTTAAGCGAAAAACTATAGTTCAAAATTATGAGAGGGGAGGATTAAATACAGTTGACCTCACAGCACATGTTAAGTTAATGTTAATAAAATGGGTGAAAGCGCTAACAGACGAACAGGATAGTCAATGGAAAATAATTCCGGGGAGATTCCTTACCAAGGCTGGGAGAAAATACATAATTTTTGCTATGAATATTGATAATATAAACCAACTGAAAGAATTTGACATTCCCACATTTTATAAGAAAATTATAAAGGCCTGGATTGAAATGGGAGGGGGACAAAAACAATATCCAAAACACACTGTAGACATTGGAGGCCAGATAATATGGGGAAATAGATTCATCACATATCAAAATAAAGTTATAGTCTTTGAAAAATGGATTGAATCAAATATTATAAGAATAAAAGATTTATTAGATAATCAAGGAAATATTAATGAAAATATTATATTAGCAAAATTAAGAAACAAACACAATTGGATTTCAGAATTCGCTATTTTAAAGAAATCCATTCCAAATAAATGGAAAAATAAATTAAAAAACTCAAATATAGACAAACATATATGGAATACAGAACCTTTTAAACCTACTATAAAACTGAAAACATCAACAGCTATATGGGAATTAGATCAGTTGTGCAACAAACAAATATACAACTATCTTAAACACTTAAACTCCCAAAAACCAATCTCCTACATCTATTGGGCTTCCCAATTTCCTGATGAAGAAGACTTGGACAAAAAAATGGCAAATGCTCTGAAATTCACTTTCACTCACATTTATGACAATAAGCTGAGAATATATCGATGGAAATTGATTCATAAAATCTTAATAAACAATCAGTTACTATATAAATATAAAATAAGGATTAATCCACTATGCAACTTATGCAGTGTAGTTGAAGATTTTGATCACTTTTTTACAAAATGTGACTTTATAGTTCCTATAAACAATCAACTGAATAAAATTTTTGAGTTGATAGGCTATAGAAAAGACATGATAACATTAAAAAACTTAGTGCTAGGTTATAAACTCCACAGTGACAACCATGTGAATATAAATATTTTACTAACACTCATTGGATTCACAATCTATAAGGGTTACTGTATGAGTGATAACAAACAAAAACAAGTTAACTTAATAAACGTTCTAAAACAAGAATTAGAAATGTTTCTTGAAATTCAAAAACACAAAAATAAAAGTATTCCTAAAATTATAAGTAATTTCTTCAACCACTTAGAATAATCTAAGTATTAATTTTAATCTATAACTCTTGTGCGTCTTATCTTGGTCAATGCACCCGGATGGCCGCGAACAGCATGCAAACATAACAACACGTGACCATTTCCAATGTAAAAATAGCTTCCTCAAACCGTTAAGCCTGCCTGAAACAAAGTCATTTGATATTAAATATTACTTTACCTAATACTAATAAATACACTGTAATTACTATAAATTACATAAGACAGTCATAACTTATTATCTAATTTGCAAGAAAGCGGGCTTCAACCAAACTTAGGCCTGCTACTCTGTTTCTGTTAATGTATATAGATCTACCTGTAATTGAGCTTCAGAAATATCATGCCACGATAAACAAAAAACGAATTCAATAGACTAAAAATACCCTAACAAATAAACTGAGGTTTTGGAAACAAAATAAATGTCTAGACTTACCATGTCAAACAGTAAATGCTCAGCGTTATGCAGCCATGTGCTCCGGTTAAAGTACCGTTGGCGCCTATACTAGTGCATGGAATAATCGTGGGCGCGTTCGACTCAAGCGACGCGCATACAACAAATAGTTATGAATACTTAATACGTCTTTTTATTGTCTTAATATTTTAATATGTTTATATACTTATAAACAAATCGAAATTCTTTGTTGGAATGAATGTGATATCTAATTTATCTACTGTAAACAAATAGCTATATGTCAGAATACAGCTACATGTATTTAGGATGAATGGTTATGTGAAAGGCGAGTGAAGAATGTGAGCCCTCCTGCGAGAGGAGACCTGGAGGTCGTGGGTTCGATCCCATGTGGAAACACACTGCTCTCTGTTCTGTTTCAGTTACATCACGTAAATGTTCACTTTCCACTTTATTTGTTTATAGTTTGTGATTGGGAGGTAGATACTGGGAGGGTCGGACTTGTGAGGTTTTCATTGACCGGATGAGTGTTATGTGATTAGGTGAGATATTCAGCGAGAGGAGTGATAGAAAAGAAATACTATTGAGAGGAGTGTATAGAAGGGCCGGTAGGTATCGGGCGAGGAATACAAATAAGGTGGGGGAGGGGGGGGGTCCTATTTTCCCAGGGAGGGGAATTGTGTGGTTGTTTTTGTATGTGTGTTTATGTAATATTACAATTTTGCACTGAAGATGACAAGTAAGTGTTACTGACTAGGTGATGAGACTGTAAAATACATACTAAATTATATATCAAGTTACTGAGACTGAGGATGATGTGAAGTTTTGTTCTACTAAACTTTTCAAGCATGCGGTATTTGTGTTTTATGGGACGATACACTTCAGGTGGTAAATAAGTTCATCCGAAGAGGTGACCAGCCTATAAAATACACACGTGACCATGTAAGGACCTAGGTGGGTGTGTAGGTTGTGTGGTTTCCGGCAAAAAGTACCAGCTGTATCTCCAAAGTGCCCTGTGGTGTCCCCGATCTCGTATTAGTATGAAGATGTAATGTTGTTGTTAAAATTACGTATATGGTTGTGTACGTAAGCGGAGCTCTACTTTGTCTGTTAAAGCGCCCTAGGTATGAGTTCGAATTTCCATTCTGTTAACCTTACCCGCGCAATATTGTGCTTTTACATGATGTGAAATGATGTTGAAAAATGTATCTGTAAAATATTGGGAGTGAGCGTTCCGATCGGAACCCGTGGGGGACATAACTGCCTTCGTCTACTGTGAAAAAAACTACGCTTACTGAATTTAAAATGTGGATAGAATGGGGCAGAGAGAAATACACTTCAATAATGATGTAAGGGTAAGTAGTTGTCTCCCCTGGAACAGTCTCCCTCTGTATTGTTACAGGACATTATAGCTATTAATGGACCAAAATGCTCAATTTTAACTTGTCTGTATTACAGGTATATGAAGATAACTGGCAATCTTACAATTCATTATTATTCTCGAGATAACTACAACCATGGAAATATGTTATCTACATCCGGGATATAATTTAGCATCTCCTACATCAGCACAGTAAATACATAGGTACAATCAAATGTGTACGTGTCAGTATTTTGCAATTTATTTGGATCGCCGACCTTAAATAAAGAATGAAAAGTCCTTGAAATGTCACTATAAGATAAAATACGGCAGGACAACTGGGTATCAGTGATTTCTTTTCTAAAATCTAAACATAATTTTATTTGATGTTTTCATGGATACGAGAGAATACTGTAACCTGTACTGTAGACTGGTGCATCAGGATGATCACTGATGGTGTGTAAACTTCCGAGGTCCAACAATAAACCCGATATAACGCCAAAATTACTAATAACAGAAGTTAGCATTATAACGAGGTTGGACTGTATGTCAGCAACTTACCGTTAATCGAAAAGACAACAACCTTGAAGTCACTGTAGATATATTTTTTCATGGATACATTTCTGTCTTTTTTAACCATAGGAGTTTTTTATTTTGGACTATAAATATTCTGTCACGCATCGAACGTGCAACGACGTGTATAGAATAACTGTTCTCGTTGTAGAGTAAATACAATTATTGCAAAATGACTTTTCATTGAAAAAAAATTACTTTTTAAATTTCAATAACATTTAGAGATACTCTGTTTTATTTCCATCAAAACTCGTTTTCATTCAATGAATATTTCACATCAGAAAAGAATTCATATCGTCTTCAGCATAATATAATTTCTCAAAACTGAAAAAAAAAATCATTTATAATGTGACGTCGCATATAATGGCTGTTAAATATCTCGCCCTTTTCCTTCATGTTAGCTACTACAGGCGCAGAACATGTAACGTCTCCCCCGAAATATGCATATTGAAGGTGAAGATAAGAACTTGTCAACATCGCGGTATTTAGTAGGTCGATTCTTATGCAGTTTTCAACTTTTTAAAATTTTGGATCATATTGAATAATAATATATTAATATTTCTTTTTTTGTTCAGAATATACTTCAAAATTTTAATAGATATGTGCAATTTTCGTTGTTGTATTTACAGACCTGTCTATATATATTGTTATAATGCACATTGTCCCGCCATTGCGGAGATCAGAGACGTATTTAACGTGTGGGGATTAAATAAGTATCACAGCTATTTTATATGAGGGTGAGAACATGGATTTAGGTTTAGGAAATATGCTTATCAGTATCAATTAATTACATGTACGCTACGGCCCCGCCGTTAATCTGGACTGTTAATTAAAACACTGGTGACTAGCCTGATAAGACGGTGTTGGAGCGGCCCACGCCATGGTGAGCTCACTCAATATGTATCCATGTCGTGAATTCTTTGTTTACTAAACATCAGACTTGTGTTTTGAAGCTACAGTATATGGTTTTCTAAAGTTTTGTTATCATGGCAAAAAGAGTCATATAACAGATTTTATGTTATACAGAAATCACCAACTCCGTTACATTCTTTTGGAGATTTTTTTTTTAAATTGAAAATTCACGTGACATTTTAGAGGACGACTAGAATTATTTGTTGAACGTTTATTGAAAATCATGGGAACGAAAGTGTGTCTTTTTATCTATACTACTGGGGTTCTTTTCCACGCTTCCGGTTATTTTACATTATACTGGGAGGTGACCGGATATGACAATTACCACTCAGGACTATGGGAATCGTGTAGAGACGAAGTGTGTTCACCAACCACGAATCATCTTTGTAAGTGACACTTATGTTTTTATTTATCTTTATATCTATTTTTATTTTCATTATTCAAATGGTTGTACTTGATGTTCTTTTGAAGTTGTTTAATATTTTTTTAAAAATCGGAAAGTGATTTGGTAAATATATCTGTCCATCTCGAATGCTGATATATGTTTTGGACGATGTCGATTTTCTTATCTTCCCGCCTATATTTCAACACTTCCGGTGATTTCAACACTTCCGGTGAAGTACTTTGCATCATGAATGAGTCCTAAATTGGCTCCATCGTGTCCAGTTCTAATTTTTTATGTTATATTCTTCTCTACATTCCTTTTTGTTACGTATATGTATTTAAGAAACGTGTAAGTATTGAAATATAGGTAAATTTAATTGTGTTAAATTTATATGTCAACTTCAGGTTACTTCGAGGCGACGCAGGTGCTGGAGACTCTAGCTGTAGTAACCGGAAGTCTTGGTCTCCTCCTCCTCTTCTTCTACTTCTTCATCAGCAAGACATCATTTGATGTCTCTCTATGTGTTGCAAGTCTCATATTGGTCGTGTTTTCAGGTAAGGGCGATGTTAAAACCTATTTTTAATGGATAAACATAAGTTTTAAAACAGTACATTCAAGAACCACAACACAGCCTCGCAAAATACTTGGTGTTAATACGTGTGGTCTAAACACGCAGTCTTACGTAGATACACAGATACAACATCATGTGAGGATGTCTATGATGTTAACATGGCAATTAAACATGCACGCCTGCTGTACTTTTAGAATTTAGAATAAAAAATGATTGTAAATGCGATATTTGTTGGATAGGGAAGAAATTCATGTTGTCATGGAGATGGCGCAGTGTTGATTCATTTCACATTCAACTGTATTTCTTTTTCTACTTCTCGCCTCTAAAATTGGGCTCTGACTGCCGACGTGTAGAGAACGAGTTTGAGAGAGAGGACTTTACACCTGATCATTATGTTTACCTGGAGGACGTATACTTAAGATAAACTTCAGTTTTGCTGACATATGAATATAGATATATGATCGCATATTTATCTACTTAAGCAGGGAACTACAAATTTTAAGGTCTTGTATCTTTGAGACACCGAAAAGAATAGAATAACGACGCTTAAAATAATGAATCAGTGCTGCCCTCCCTCACCCCTATGTCAACATGAATTGTCCTTTCCCCTATCCCCGCCCCTCTAAGAAACAAATAAAACTTTTTAACTGAAAATATCAAAGATATCTGAGTTACTCTGGATATCACGTTTTACTGATTTATGTAATAGAGGTCATTTATAATTTCCTCCGCTAGGATTCGAACCCGGGATATCTCGCTCAACAGACCGAGCTAAAGAAAAGTACTATCTTACCTTGCGGTATTTTACGTCTAGTATACATTCAAAACGACGTAATCTGAAATTTATAGTTTACACAGACAGACAGACAGACAGACACCCTCAAATACACACACACACACACACACACACACACACACACACACAGACAAACACACACACACACACACACACACACACACACACACACACAGACACACACACACACACACACACACACACACACACAGTCACACCACACACACACACACACACACACACACACACACACACACACACACACACACACACACACACACACCACACACACACACACACACACACACACACACACAGACACACACACACACACACACACACACACACACACACACACACACACACACACACACACACACACACACACACACACACGAACGCTCGCACGCACGCATATATAAATTGACACTATATATATATATATGTATGTGTACATAAGATGTGATATTCTTATTTTTGTTTTAGCATGCTGTGCTATACTGGGTGTGATTATTTACGGATGTAAGACGTCACTTCCGGTGTCATGGTCGTATGCATTAGCAGTAATCGGTGGAATATCTTACGGAATTTCGGCGATTTTTCTGTCTGTATATCTTCTTAACAATACCGATAAATATAACAAGTACAGAGCTTCCCTTCAAACTGAACTACAGCATTATGTATAATCGGTATTCTTCATAAATATAACGGTTTACGATGCTATGACTAAACCATATTCAGTAAAAAACATTTGTATGGTATACTTTGATGGTATCATGAGAGTGTGACGATAAAGAAAAAAAACCGCATTGTCTGAGGTCATGAGAAGGTCACACGTGAAATTTTCGGGAGCTTATGATTTGTTTCCATCATAATTATGATTTTTTTGTGAGATTTTATTTGTACTGAATTTATTTGTGGTACTCTTATGATAGACGTCGAATATAAAGATATGATTTCAGTGAGATTTGGTTTTTATTTTAAACATATTCTGTTGTTTATAAACAAACTCATTACGTCCTCTCCTAAATGAATACATACGGGATCATTTTCCAAAGGAATCACGGGGGCAAAACTTCAAAATTTGTAAATTACGGACGAAAAGTGAATATTGCAAATGAAATGTACAGATGATAGGAGAAGAGAATAGGAAAAGAGGATATACAGAACATACAGAGAGGTGAAATAGGGACTGGTAAAGAGGAGATGTAGAACATACAGAGAGGTGAAATAGGGACAGGAAAAGAGGAGATGTTGAACATAAAGAGAGGTGAAATAGGGACAGATAACGAGGAGATATAGAACATACAGAGAGGTGAAATAGGGACAGGTAAAGAGGAGATGTAGAACATACAGAGAGGTGAAATAGGGACAGGAAAAGAGGAGATATAGAACATAAAGAGAGGTGAAATAGGGACAGATAACGAGGAGATATAGAACATACAGAGAGGTGAAATAGGGACAGGAAAAGAGATATAGAACATAGAGAGAGGTGAAATAGGGACAGGTAAAGAGGAGCTATAGAACATACAGCGAGGTGAAATAGGGACAGGTAAAGAGGAGATATTGAACATACAGAGAGGTGAAATAGGGACAGGAAAAGAGGAGATATAGAACATACAGAGAGGTGAAATAGGGACAGGTAAAGAGGATATACAGAACATACTGAGAGGTGAAATAGGGACAGGAAAAGAGGTGATATAGAACATACAGAGAGGTGAAATAGGGACAGGAAAAGAGGAGATATAGAACATACAGAGAGGTGAAATAGGGACAGGTAAAGAGAAGCTATAGAACATACAGAGAGGTGGAATAGGGACAGGTAAAGGGGAGATGTAGAACATACAGAGAGGTGAAATAGGGACAGGTAAAGAGGAAATATAGAACATACAGAGAGGTGAAATAGGGACAGGTAAAGAGGAGATATAGAACATACAGAGAGGTGAAATAGGGACAGGTAAAGAGGAGATATAGAACATACAGAGAGGTGAAATAGGGACAGGTAAAGAGGAGATGTAGAACATACAGAGAGGTGAAATAGGGACAGGAAAAGAGGAGACATAGAACATAGAGAGAGGTGAAATAGGGACAGGTAAAGAGGAGATATAGAACATACAGAGAGGTGAAATAGGGACAGGAAAAGAGGAGATATAGAACATACAGAGAGGTGAAATAGGGACAGGTAAAGAGGATATATAGAACATACAGAGAGGTGAAATAGGGACAGGTAAAGAGGATATACAGAACATACAGAGAGGTGAAATAGGGACAGGTAAAGAGGAGATATAGAACATACAGAGAGGTGAAATAGGGACAGGTAAAGAGGAGATATAGAACATACAGAGAGGTGAAATAGGGACAGGTAAAGAGGAGATATAGAACATACAGAGAGGTGAAATAGGGACAGGTAAAGAGGAGATGTAGAACATACAGAGAGGTGAAATAGGGACAGGTAAAGAGGAGATATAGAACATACAGAGAGGTGAAATAGGGACATGTAAAGAGGAGATATAGAACATACAGAGAGGTGAAATAGGGACAGGTAAAGAGGAGATATAGAACATACAGAGAGGTGAAATAGGGACAGGTAAAGAGGAGATATAGAACATACAGAGAGGTGAAATAGGGACAGGTAAAGAGGAGATATAGAACATACAGAGAGGTGAAATAGGGACAGGTAAAGAGGAGATATAGAACATACAGAGAGGTGAAATAGGGACAGGTAAAGAGGAGATATAGAACATACAGAGAGGTGAAATAGGGACAGGTAAAGGGGAGATGTAGAACATACAGAGAGGTGAAATAGGGACAGGTAAAGAGGAGATATAGAACATACAGAGAGGTGGAATAGGGACAGGTAAAGAGGATATATAGAACATACAGAGAGGTGAAATAGGGACAGGAAAAGAGGAGACATAGAACATAGAGAGAGGTGAAATAGGGACAGGTAAAGAGGAGATATAGAATATACAGAGAGGTGAAATAGGGACAGGTAAAGAGGAGATAAAGAAAATACAGAGAGGTGAAATAAGGGACAGGTAAAGAGGAGATATAGAACATACAGAGAGGTGAAATAGGGACAGGTAAAGAGGAGATATTGAACATACAGAGAGGTGAAATAGGGACAGGAAAAGAGGAGATATAGAACATACAGAGAGGTGAAAAAGGACAGGTAAAGAGGAGATAGAACATACAGAGAGGTGAAATAGGACAGGTAAAGAGGATATAGAACATACAGAGAGGTGAAATAGGGACAGGTAAAGAGGAGATATAGAACATACAGAGAGGTGAAATAGGGACAGGTAAAGAGGAGCTATAGAACATACAGAGAGGTGAAATAAGGACAGGTAAAGAGGAGCTATAGAACATACAGAGAGGTGAAATAAGGACAGGTAAAGAGGAGCTATAGAACATACAGAGAGGTGAAATAAGGACAGGTAAAGAGGATATACAGAACACACTGAGAGGTGAAATAGGGACATGTAAAGAGGAGATATAGAATATACAGAGAGGTGAAATAAGGACAGGTAAAGAGGAGACATATAACATAGAGAGAGGTGAAATAAGGACAGGTAAAGAGGAGCTATAGAACATACAGAGAGGTGAAATAAGGACAGGTAAAGAGGAGCTATAGAACATACAGAGAGGTGAAATAAGGACAGGTAAAGAGGATATACAGAACATACAGAGAGGTGAAATAAGGACAGGTAAAGAGGAGCTATAGAACATACAGAGAGGTGAAATAAGGACAGGTAAAGAGGAGCTATAGAACATACAGAGAGGTGAAATAAGGACAGGTAAAGAGGAGCTATAGAACATACAGAGAGGTGAAATAAGGACAGGTAAAGAGGAGCTATAGAACATACAGAGAGGTGAAATAAGGACAGGTAAAGAGGATATACAGAACATACAGAGATGTGAAATAAGGACAGGTAAAGAGGAGCTATAGAACATACAGAGAGGTGAAATAAGGACAGGTAAAGAGGAGCTATAGAACATACAGAGAGGTGAAATAAGGACAGGTAAAGAGGAGCTATAGAACATATAGAACACACAGAGAGGTGAAATAAGGACAGGTAAAGAGGATATACAGAACATACAGAGAGGTGAAATAAGGACAGGTAAAGAGGAGCTATAGAACATACAGAGAGGTGAAATAAGGACAGGTAAAGAGGAGCTATAGAACATACAGAGAGGTGAAATAAGGACAGGTAAAGAGGATATAGAACATACAGAGAGGTGAAATAAGGACAGGTAAAGAGGAGCTATAGAACATACAGAGAGGTGAAATAAGGACAGGTAAAGAGGATATAAAGAACATACAGAGAGGTGAAATAGGGACATGTAAAGGGGAGATATAGAACATACAGAGAGGTGAAATAAGGACAGGTAAAGAGGAGCTATAGAACATACAGAGAGGTGAAATAAGGACAGGTAAAGAGGAGCTATAGAACATACAGAGAGGTGAAATAAGGACAGGTAAAGAGGATATACAGAACATACAGAGAGGTGAAATAAGGACAGGTAAAGAGGAGCTATAGAACATACAGAGAGGTGAAATAAGGACAGGTAAAGAGGAGCTATAGAACATACAGAGAGGTGAAATAAGGACAGGTAAAGAGGAGCTATAGAACATACAGAGAGGTGAAATAAGGACAGGTAAAGAGGAGCTATAGAACATACAGAGAGGTGAAATAGGGACAGGTAAAGAGGATATACAGAACATACAGAGAGGTGGAATAGGGACAGGTAAAGGGGAGATGTAGAACATACAGAGAGGTGAAATATGGACAGGTAAAGAGGAGCTATAGAACATACAGAGAGGTGAAATAAGGACAGGTAAAGAGGATATACAGAACATACAGAGAGGTGGATATATACATAAACTGCTGTCCAACACTTTATCCGTTTCTCTTTTCCATCCAGTCTACAGCAACGTGATATTTCGTGTTCACGTTTGACTTGAACTCGCCTTCGTTTTATCAATTGATACAGTTGATAGGTGTATCCTGAGTTCTTTATATTTGTCGATACTAATTTGTCTGGGTATAACGGTGCTGTCCTCGCTTATATCTTACAGAAGTGTCCCAGCGTTCATTAACTTTTAGTATTTTTTTTTAGGAAAAACAGTTTTAAAAAATGATAAATGTATATATATTTAGTTTAGATAATTTTGATTTTTCTTAAATATTTCATTGTAGACTGAGAGTTCTTCTCTCAGTTTGTTTCTCACAAAGCCAGTTTATATAATGTCAGGATTTAGGACAGGTTCTCAAATAAGCCTTCATTAAAACCTCATTCAGTATCTCATTATCAAAGAACTATGTGAAAAGACATCTGAACAAGTTTCGGCCAAAGGTGTTTCGCATTGTATCAGGCTCTTTTATCTGTAAGCGTTAGCCTTTTAGTCAGTTAGCGTCATGGTTTACTTTCATTGTCTCTGAACGGAATGTTTTTACTGTCTGCAATTAAGGGGTCTGTTAGCATTACTCGTTTGTGTCATAACATCTCAGCGAAGGCCAAGCTATTGTTGACAGGTGGCCACAGGTGCGTTGACACAGTAAGGCTACATCCCATTGGTCAGTGGCCGAAACGTTACTAAAAGTCATATGTAAAATATAATGTAATTGGTTAAAGAAAGTTCCGTGAATTCTTTACTGGTAGCGTTCTCGGTCGTTCTTGTCACTTTCGAACAAGACGCCGATAAATAAAGAAAATAACTAAGAATTCTCGTTATTTTCTTCAGTTATAGAGCCTATATGTGACATTGGTGCAGTTATAGAGCTAATTTCCAGACTAGCGCCACTGTCACAGAAGTCCACTCTATTAGAATAGACCGTAACCAATCTTCTCGATACATTCAAAGTAGAAATATTCATACAATTTTACGTAATGAAATGGCGTTACATGGATGATTAGACAATCTGATTTTGAGAGTGACATAACAAGCTCATGAATCTTCTTATTATGAAATAAGAAATCCACGGACAACGACAGACGTTTTGGCGCGATTGTTTCTCAAAAATTGAATAAACCATACATAGATAGTTTTATGATATTTTATGTGTCCTAGCATGATAATGATCAACTCTTACTTATCAAAATAAAAAGCATTTATTGAGTAACGAACAGACACAGATGTGCATCTCAAATGTTCAGAAAATCTACACCGCCAAAATGACGCAGTAGTGACGTCATCTTCCGAAGAGGGCTTGTTATGACGTCATCTAGAGTTTGGGCTCGCCGGCAACAACTTGTGATTCAATACCACACTCATCATGTCCTCGTAGGATTTTGAAAAAACCTGAAATTTGTACAAAAAAAAGGAAAACGTTGAAAATTGAATGAAATATAACATATAGATTATTACAGACTTGATAAATTAGTTGAGCAGCTGACAATGATATATACCGACATTTAAATTACTGGTTAGAGACAGGTAGATGGAGTATATGATTATTTAGATTAACCATATTTGGTAGAGAGGTTGATGATTTGGTAGGGAGGTAGATGATTTGGTAGAGAGGTTGATGATTTGATAGAGAGGTAGATGATTTGGTATAGAGGTAGATGGTTTGGTATAGAGGTAGATTATTTGGTAGTGAGGTAGATGATTTGGTAGAGAGGAAGATGATTTGGTAGAGAGGTAGATGATTTGGTAGGGAGGTAGATGGTTTGGTAGGGAGGTAGATGATTTGGTAGAGAGGTAGATGATTTGGTAGGGAGGTAGATGATTTGGTAGAGAGGTAGATGATTTGGTAGGGAGGTAGATGATTTGGTAGGGAGGTAGATGATTTGGTAGAGAGGTAGATGATTTGGTAGGGAGGTAGATGATTTGGTAGGGACGTTGATGATTTGGTAGGGAGGTAGATGATTTGGTAGAGAGGTAGATGATTTGGTAGATGATTTGGTAGAGAGGTTGATGATTTGGTAGGGAGGAAGATGGTTTGGTAGGGAGGAAGATGATTTGGTAGAGAGGTAGATGATTGGGTAGGGAGGTAGATGATTTGGTAGAGAGGTAGATGATTTGGTAGAGAGGTAGATGATTTGGTAGGGAGGTAGATGATTTGGTAGGGAGGTAGATGATTTGGTAGAGAGGTTGATGATTTGGTAGAGAGGTAGATGATTTGGTAGGGAGGTAGATGATTTGGTAGGGAGGTAGATGATTTGGTAGAGAGGTAGATGATTTGGTAGAGAGGTAGATGATTTGGTAGAGAGGTTGATGATTTGATAGAGAGGTAGATGATTTGGTAGGGAGGTAGATGATTTGGTATAGAGGTAGATGGTTTGGTATAGAGGAAGATAATTTGGTAGGGAGGTAGATGATTTGGTAGGGAGGTAGATGATTTGGTAGAGAGGTAGATGATTTGGTAGAGAGGTAGATGATTTGGTAGAGAGGTTGATGATTGGGTAGAGAGGTAGATGATTTGGTAGGGAGGTAGATGATTTGGTATAGAGGAAGATAATTTGGTAGAGAGGTTGATGATTTGATATAGAGGTAGATGATTTGGTAGGGAGGTAGATGGTTTGGTAGCGAGGTTGATGGTTTGGTAGGGAGGTAGATGATTTGGTAGGGAGGTAGATGATTTGGTAGTGAGGTAGATGATTTGGTAGAGAGGTAGATGATTTGGTAGTGAGGTTGATGATTTGGTAGAGAGGTTGATGATTTGGTAGGGAGGTAGATGATTTGGTAGAGAGGTTGATGGTTTGGTAGAGAGGTAGATGATTTGATAGAGAGGTAGATGGTTTGGTAGGGAGGTTGATGATTTGATAGAGAGGTAGATGATTTGATAGAGAGGTAGATGGTTTGGTAGAGAGGTTGATGGTTTGGTAGAGAGGTAGATGATTTGGTAGAGAGGTTGATGATTTGGTAGAGAGGTAGATGATTTGGTAGAGGTAGAGAGAGAGGTAGGTAGATGATTTGGTAGAGAGGTAGATGATTTGGTAGAGAGGTTGATGATTTGGTAGAGAGGTTGATAATTTGATAGAGAGGAAGATAATTTGGTAGGGAGGAAGATAATTTGGTAGAGAGGTAGATAGGTAGATGATTTGGTAGAGAAGTTGATGATTTGGTAGCGAGGTAGATGGTTTGGTAGGGAGGTAGATGGTTTGGTAGAGAGGTAGATGATTTGGTAGAGAGGTTGATGATTTGGTAGAGAGGTTGATGATTTGGTAGAGAGGTAGATGATTTGGTAGGGAGGTAGATGATTTGGTAGAGAGGTAGATGATTTGGTAGAGAGGTAGATGATTTGGTAGAGAGGTAGATGATTTGGTAGAGAGGTAGATGATTTGGTAGAGAGGTTGATGGTTTGGTAGAGAGGTTGATGGTTTGGTAGAGAGGTAGATGGTTTGGTAGAGAGGTAGATGATTTGGTAGAGAGGTTGATGATTTGGTAGAGAGGTAGATGATTTGGTAGGGAGGTAGATGATTTGGTAGGGAGGTAGATGATTTGGTAGAGAGGTAGATGATTTGGTAGAGAGGTAGATTTGGTAGAGAGGTTGATGATTTGGTAGAGAGGTAGATGATTTGGTAGATGATTTGGTATTTGGTAGAGAGGTAGATGATTTGGTAGGGAGGTAGATGATTTGGTAGAGAGGTAGATGATTTGGTAGAGAGGTAGATGATTTGGTAGATGGTTTGGTAGAGAGGTAGATGATTTGGTAGAGAGGTAGATGATTTGGTAGAGAGGTAGATGATTTGATAGAGAGGTAGATGATTTGGTAGAGAGGTAGATGATTTGGTAGAGAGGTAGATGATTTGGTAGAGAGGTAGATGGTTTGGTAGGGAGGTAGATGATTTGGTAGAGAGGTTGATGATTTGGTAGAGAGGTAGATGATTTGGTAGAGAGGTAGATGATTTGGTAGAGAGGTAGATGATTTGGTAGAGAGGTAGATGATTTGATAGAGAGGTAGATGATTTGGTAGAGAGGTATGTTGGTAGAGAGGTAGATGATTTGGTAGAGAGGTAGATGGTTTGGTAGGGAGGTTGATGGTTTGGTAGAGAGGTAGATGGTTTGGTAGCGAGGTTGATGGTTTGGTAGAGAGGTTGATGGTTTGATGGAAAGGTAGATGATTTGGTAGAGAAGTTGATGATTTGGTAGAGAGGTAGATGGTTTGGTAGCGAGGTTGATGATTTGGTAGAGAGGTAGATGGTTTGGTAGAGAAGTTGATGGTTTGGTAGCGAGGTAGATGGTTTGGTAGCGAGGTAGATGATTTGGTAGAGAGGTAGATGATTTGGTAGGGAGGTAGATGATTTGGTAGAGAGGTAGATGATTTGGTAGAGAGGTAGATGATTTGGTAGAGAGGTAGATGATTTGGTAGAGAGGTAGATGATTTGGTAGAGAGGTAGATGATTTGGTAGAGAGGTAGATGATTTGGTAGAGAGGTAGATGATTTGGTAGAGAGGTAGATGATTTGGTAGAGAGGTAGATGATTTGGTAGAGAGGTAGATGATTTGGTAGAGAGGTTGATGATTTGGTAGAGAGGTAGATGATTTGGTAGGGAGGTAGATGATTTGGTAGAGAGGTAGATGATTTGGTAGAGAGGTTGATGATTTGGTAGGGAGGTAGATGATTTGGTAGAGAGGTAGATGGTTTGGTAGCGAGGTTGATGGTTTGGTAGGGAGGTAGATGATTTGGTAGAGAGGTAGATGATTTGGTAGAGAGGTTGATAATTTGATAGAGAGGAAGATAATTTGATAGAGAGGAAGATAATTTGGTAGGGAGGAAGATGATTTGGTAGAGAGGTAGATGATTTGGTAGGGAGGTAGATGGTTTGGTAGGGAGGTAGATGATTTGGTAGAGAGGTAGATGATTTGGTAGAGAGGTAGATGATTTGGTAGGGAGGTAGATGATTTGGTAGGGAGGTAGATGATTTGGTAGAGAGGTAGATGATTTGGTAGGGAGGTAGATGATTTGGTAGGGAGGTATGATTTGGTAGAGAGGTAGAGGTAGAGAGATGATTTGGTAGAGAGGTAGATGATTTGGTAGAGAGGTAGATGATTTGGTAGAGAGGTAGATGATTTGGTAGAGAGGAGAGGTAGATGATTTGGTAGAGAGGTAGATGATTTGGTAGAGAGGTAGATGGTTTGGTAGGGAGGTAGATGTTTTGGTAGAGAGGTAGATGTTTTGGTAGAGAGGTAGATGATTTGGTAGAGAGGTAGATGGTTTGGTAGGGAGGTAGATGGTTTGGTAGAGAGGTAGATGATTTGGTAGGGAGGTTGATGATTTGGTAGGGAGGTAGATGATTTGGTAGAGAGGTAGATGATTTGGTAGAGAGGTAGATGATTTGGTAGAGAGGTAGATGATTTGGTAGAGAGGTAGATGATTTGGTAGAGAGGTAGATGATTTGGTAGAGAGGTAGATGATTTGGTAGGGAGGTAGATGATTTGGTAGAGAGGTTGATGGTTTGGTAGGGAGGTAGATGATTTGGTAGAGAGGTAGATGATTTGGTAGAGAGGTAGATGATTTGGTAGAGAGGTAGATGATTTGGTAGAGAGGTAGATGATTTGGTAGGGAGGTAGATGATTTGGTAGGGAGGTAGATGATTTGGTAGGGAGGTAGATGATTTGGTAGGGAGGTAGATGATTTGGTAGAGAGGTAGATGGTTTGGTAGAGAGGTAGATGATTTGGTAGAGAGGTAGATGGTTTGGTAGAGAGGTAGATGGTTTGGTAGGGAGGTAGATGATTTGGTAGGGAGGTAGATGATTTGGTAGAGAGGTAGATGATTTGGTAGAGAGGTAGATGATTTGGTAGAGAGGTAGGTAGATGATTTGGTAGAGAGGTAGATGATTTGGTAGAGAGGAAGGTGATTTGGTAGGGAGGAAGATGATTTGATAGGGAGGTAGATGGTTTGGTAGAGAGGTAGATGGTTTGGTAGAGAGGTTGATGATTTGGTAGAGAGGTAGATGGTTTGGTAGGGAGGTTGATGGTTTGGTAGAGAGGTAGATGGTTTGGTAGGGACGTTGATGATTTGGTAGAGAGGTAGATGGTTTGGTAGGGAGGTAGATGATTTGGTAGGGAGGTAGATGATTTGGTAGGGAGGTAGATGATTTGGTAGAGAGGTAGATGATTTGGTAGAGAGGTAGATGATTTGGTAGAGAGGTAGATGATTTGGTAGAGAGGTAGATGATTTGGTAGAGAGGTAGATTTGGTAGAGATGATGATTTGGTAGAGAGGTAGATGATTTGGTAGAGAGGAGAGGTTTGGTAGAGATGATTTGGTAGAGAGGTAGATGGTTTGGTAGGGAGGTTGATGGTTTGGTAGAGAGGTAGATGGTTTGGTAGAGAGGTAGATGGTTTGGTAGGGAGGTTGATGGTTTGGTAGAGAGGTTGATGGTTTGGTAGAGAGGTAGATGATTTGGTAGAGAGGTAGATGATTTGGTAGGGAGGTAGATGATTTGGTAGGGAGGTAGATGGTTTGGTAGAGAGGTAGATGGTTTGGTAGAGAGGTAGATGGTTTGGTAGAGAGGTAGATGGTTTGGTAGAGAGGTAGATGGTTTGGTAGAGAGGTAGATGGTTTGGTAGAGAGGTAGATGATTTGGTAGGGAGGTAGATGGTTTGGTAGAGAGGTTGATGGTTTGGTAGGGAGGTAGATGATTTGATAGAGAGGTAGATGATTTGGTGAGGGAGGTTGATGGTTTGGTAGGGAGGTTGATGATTTGGTAGAGAGGTAGATGGTTTGGTAGAGAGGTGATGATATGTACATTTGGTAGATGTTTCTCCCCAGAGGGAGGTAGAGTTTGGTAGAGAGGTAGATGGTTTGGTCTGATGGTTTCCTGATGACAAAATGTGTCGAAGATATCAATGAACAATTAACAAAAAAAAATGTACAAAAATTGTTAGAGGTAAAAAAACGTCATCTAACAAATGTTATCTAATACAATAAAAGAGAATATTCAAAAGGATCGTATAGATACACTGATGAATTATACATCCTCAGTTTGGCTTCCGATATTGTATATAAATACTCTTAAAATAGGATTTCATTTCACAAGTGCAATATATTTCTTATCATTAAGTCGTTAACACACTGAAGCTTAGACTTGCCATTGCGTCTGCTCTAAAACGATTCTATGGAAGATCGTACTTACCAAGGTATTATCATCGATGTTAGTATATGGAGATGTATGGCAGGTTAGACTTGACAGAACGTGCTCTCTAACACGATTGTATTGAATATAATACCTGCCGCAGTATTATTATCAAAGTTAATTATGAAGACCGATATGTAAACATACCTCTGTGTTTGTCCTGCTCGAAAGTGTTGTTGTATCCAGCTTCACACTTCCTGGAGCATTTAGGGGTACGCTGAGACTTGCCGCATGGCTTCTCTTTTCCAACCACGTGATGGTCACATGACGGAACAAGGTAGGGCTGGCATCCCTGATGAGAGACAAGAACAAGCGTTATTCTGGGAGGAAATACCTTATTTTTGTTATTTATTCAGGAAAGAAATTTGTATCGACCATTTCAAACTTTGTAACAGGTTAGACATTGGTATGTAATTAGGAATCTTCTTTAACAAAAAAGTCCAAATTGATATATTTTTCTAAAATAAAAAATGGAAGTAAAGGGCAATGTACATAAAGGATTGCATGCTTTATTACGTGAATCTACCGTTAATATTATGTGTGAAGAGAAATAGATACCGTTGTATTATAATTACTGATCTATATAGGTATATATATATATATAAGTAAATTAAACTACAGCGGTAGCAACTCATCTCATGTAATATTTGTGTCTTGATAAAGGGGCAGGTTGCCTCGAAAAATTGACAATTCGCTTGTCCTTACTGTCGTCTTTACTTCATTGATTATATATCTGTTCCAGTAATACGCATCCAACGAACATTTATTTGTTAGGATCCAGTACCAATATTCGACCATACCGTCGATATTACTTACTAGATTCTATATATAGAAGATCCAGTACCAATATTGGACCATACCGTCGATATTACTTACTAGATTCTATATATAGAAGATCCGGTATCAATATTGGACCATACTGCCGATATTACTTACTAGATTCTATATATAGAAGATCCAGTACCAATATTGGACCATACCGTCGATATTACTTACTAGATTCTATATATAGAAGGTCCAGTACCAATATTGGACCATACCGTCGATATTACTTACTAGATTCTATATATAGAAGATCCGGTATCAATATTGGACCATACTGCCGATATTACTTACTAGATTCTATATATAGAAGATCCAGTAAAAACATTGGACCATACCGTCGATATTACTTACTAGATTCTATATATAGAAGATCCAGTACCAATATTGGACCATACTGCCGATATTACTTACTAGATTATATATATATATACACAATTTTAATTTCATCATACAAACATTTTGTTAGGAAAGACTATATAGGTGGCCGTTTTAGTTATATTCTTTTATTCTTTTGTCGCTATTTTTGTAGATGAAATATATTTGAAAAAAAAATTAAAATAATAAAAAAAAAAAAAAACTTTTGTCAAAACAGCAAAATACTGAACCACCGAAAAAACGACATTTACTGTATGAATGATTCATTCTCTGTTAGTTGTGAATATACTCTGAGATATGTACTGTTGTCACTTTATTGGTGCCTCTATCTACCACTACACATATAAAGCCCCAGTGATATAAACCGTCCTCAAGTTAATTAAATCTTAATCATCACATACGCTAAGGAAATGCCTAAGTTCCATAAAGCTTCCTACGGCCAATTTTTAAGTTAAGGAAACTTTCTGTAGTTAAGGAAGATTTGTGAAACTGGGACCAGATATATTTGGACGATGAAATATCTTTTACTGATTTTAAACATACTTGGGTGTATTCATTGAATAAAACGGCAATTATACGGTATACTGGTTGATATTTGCACGCCGTACAGTTTCTTTTAGAAAGTCAGATAAAAAAACAAAAACAAAAAAACAAAAAAAATGAAAACAAATGTTTTCACAAAAAAAAAAAAAAAAAAAAAGAAAAAAAATACTTTGTGTCCGTGATCGATGAACACCCTTACACCCTTATCTCTTCAAACCTTTATTTTATCCGCGAAAATTTAAATCCTCTTTCAATCTTTGTGGTACATTGGTCACGATGAAAAACCTGTCAATCAGCGTCAGGGAACAGCGTTATATCTATAAATATATACTGTAGGAGTCTGTAAGCATTATTTACCTGTTTGCTGTTGTACTGTCCACCTGTAACCAATCCAGTTCTCTCATAATAATCCCAAGCGGCCTCGAGGAAACCTCCGTTACACCTATTTAAAAAGTGGGACACATCGTATTTACAAATAATTTAATGCCAAGCAGATCATAATTCATAATTCCGGAAAATATAATTTTATGATAACTACTCTATTCCATTTTCTTTCTGATATCGACTGCTTTCACGCCCATTAGTGTTTCTTGTCACTCCCCAGACTCTCTTGTTGAGAACATAGCATTTATTTTGTTGAAGAAACCGTCCAGCTTTATATAACCACGTGGTCTTAAGCGACTTGTACTTTTTATGGATATCCGGGTCACATTCCTGTTTGAATATTTTTTACAGCAGTCATGTAGGTAAGTTTGAAATATTGTACTCTACTGTACTAGTTTCCGGAAATGTTTTGTTTTTATGATTATCGGTTCTCAACTCTATGTAAATATGACGATATTGAGATTTCATTAATACACCTACCCGTTGCCACATGTTTTGCAACATGACGTTAAGTCCTCAGCAGAGATATGGAAGTTGGATTTTCCTCCGGATTTGATGCAAATTCTGTCAGACATGGATTCGACAGCTCCAAACGCCTGGAATAAAAAGACAGTCACGTGGGAAATATCACGTGATGAAATTGACAGAATTGCACTGTTTAAGACATTTCGTATGTTACTTTATTTAAAATGTTAAATAAAACAAGGAATTTATAATTGTAAAATTACGTGCAAATTTGTTATAACCAGTGATTACATTACTTTCCTCGGTAAATGTCTGATCAACATATAAAAATGTACCTAATTTCGGAGGAAATTTTAATAATGCACCTTTTGAAGCTGACAAATTTCAAAGCGAACATGACTAGGCATTCCATCAATATGATAACAATCTTGATCATTGCAACATTTATGTATTTTTAATCTTTATTTGAAGTAATATTTATTATCAGATATAACGTTATATGTTAAAAGTGGTGGTAAATGTGACGTAATTCATACCCAGCATGATCCGCAAGCTCCCTGATCCCTAACTTCCTTCAGTGTTGGGCAGTTTGGCCACTGGGTTCTAGCGTCGAAGTTTTCTGGAAGGTCATCAGGCACGTGCATATGTTTTTCCTGAAGTTTCATATGATCTGGAGTAGGGAGGGTGCCGCACATCGTTTTTGCGTACTGAAGGCGGTCTTCCTTTCGCAGGTGACGGAAGTTTTCTCCGGCCTGAAGTTCAAAGGTCATTTTTGTTTTAGTGATGTATATTGGAGGCAAATCAATATAAAATTTCGGCTGCTGTTTATTAGGGCACATCAACGTCTACCAAGAATATAAAGGTCGGTATAGGCAATTGTTACTAAGATGCCTTTAGAATCTCTAATGGCTGAGTACGTCAGAGCACAGGATTTTGACACGATTTCCCAACATACAGCCCCCCCCCCCCACCCTCCTATATATACTATGGTACATATACGTATGGACCTTGGGTTGTGAACTCGAGCCATGTCCCTGTGGGCCAGATTAAACAAATTTCAGTTGGATCAGTTAGCCTCGGATTGTGTAATGTGTCAATTCAACAATAAAAAGGAATATCGGGCCAAATCAATTCACATGTACAATCATAGTGTCAGGATAATGACCCGTTATCAAAACGAGTTGTTTTTCAAGTTTACTAAACTACAGATAGGACACCGAGCAAAATTTCACGAGCAAGTATATATGACCATTCACCTTCCATGTTGTACCGATGGAGTTGATGTACTTTGCCATGAGGTCAAGGTCAGAGGTCAACAGACTGGCAAGATCATCTCTGGGCTTAGCCCATGACGTCACCACCAGTACACACAGAACTGCCAAAAACTTCATCTAGTAAAAAAGTTAATAATTATAAGAAACTCTACAAAATATTAAGAAATGTTATAAGGCATTGCCATGGTAACCCCAGACATAAGAATTCCATTCTCTCGATGGATCGGAGACATCTAGAACAGGTTATCTCTATAAACACATATGATGTAAAATTCGCTATTTTGAAGAGGTTAAAATGATCTTAACCACCAAACGAGAAAAGTTGATAAATAAAATTGATACAGACGTCCGTGAAAAAAACCTCATTTTTCTTCAAGCTTTCTACAAAGCTATATATGGAATTATGAAAAAACCTAAACAAAACCCAAATCACCTTTTAGATGTAACGTATTCCTTGATCAACCGAGCTTGTATTTCAACTGTGTATTACAATGTTTATCAAATAACCATGAACAGCTAGATTAAAGAAATATATTTTCATTTACAAAGTAACAGAACAACAATGATCAAATATTGAAAATACCGCGTACTAATTATCAATGTTAATAATTCTGTATGTAGAATGAAATCAACACAGCATTTTCTTCTGTTTTTTTTCTTATTTCAATGAAACTACATGTAAGAATCTAACATGTCTTTTGAAAGTAGCTAGTGATACATCAGTGCATTACAATGTCTTTTGAAAGTAGCTAGTGATATATCAGTGCATTACAATGTCTTTTGAAAGTAGCTAGTGATACATCAGTGCATTACAATGTCTTTTGAAAGTAGCTAGTGATACATCAGTGCATTACAATGTCTTTTGAAAGTAGCTAGTGATACATCAGTGCATTACAATTTGGATTTTAAAACAAAGTAATCATCGGTACTCACCCTTTCCTCTAACTTCAAACGAAAACACTGATCAGATGTTGGACTGACTGGACTTTATATCAGCTGGGTCATCGGACTACAGTTATCCTGGTCATGGGAACGAAACCACGAGACCTTCAGACATCCCTTTCCCTAATTCACGTTATGGACTATTCTACAGCAACACTTAACATGTAAGGCGAATCCATCTTAATGGTAAAGTAGGGGAGAGTTACAAACTGTTACGAGTGTAGTCATGTGACAGATGATAACTGTTATCTGTAAATATGACCACACATTTCACTGCAGTTGAATTGAAATGTTCATAAAAAATAGGTATGAATTAAGGCGACATTGAACGATTGTTCTCAACAATACAAAGATTGATTGACAGGTTTCCCTGACTCATCCCGTGTACGGGTATCGTCGTAGTCGTGTTGTTGTTGTTACTGTTGTTGTTATTGTTGTTGCTGCTGTTGTTGTTGTTGTTGCTGTTGTTGTTGCTGTTGTTGTTGTTTCTGTTGTTGTTGTTACTGTTGTTGTTTTTGTTGTTGTTGTTGTTGTTGTTGCTGTTGTTATTGTTGTTGTTGTTGATGTTACTGTTGTTGTTGTTGTTGTTACTGTTGTTGTTGTTGCTGTTGTTATTGTTGTTGTTGTTGATGTTACTGTTGTTGTTGTTGTTGTTACTGTTGTTGTTGTTGTTGTTGTTGTTGTTAGTGTTGTTGTTTTTACTGTTGTTGTTGTTGTTACTGTTGTTGTTGTTGCTGTTGTTGTTGCTACTGTTGTTGTTGTTGTTTGTCGTTTTCTGCTGCTGGTTGTTGTTGTTGTTGTTGTTGTTGTTGTTGTTGTTGTTGTTGTTGTTGTTGTTGTTGTTGTTGTTGTTGTTGTTGTTGTTGTTGTTGTTGTTGTTGTTGTTGCTACTGTTGTTTGTGGTTGTTTGTTGTTTGTTGTTGGTGGTGGTTGTGCTGGTGGTATTTCAGTTGTTATTGTTATTTGTGAATGAGGGAATGACTGGTGTTTCTCCCGTCAGTTTATCTGATTAAGACTAAATGTTTCCTTTAATACATATCGCTGTAGATCTATATATTTCCAAAGTTGTAATTTCATAAATTGTCCGTCTAGATTTTCTTGTTCTACATAATAACACTGCAACAAAAATATGAGATTATATACAGTGCTGATCTACATCTAATATATAGCATTCCTAAGTATGATGGTTGTAGAACTCTGCGTCCATCCTAAATATTTTATCCGCATCAGAAGTAGGTCAAGGATATTGATAAAAGGTAGATAGTGTACAATGATTGATTTATAGGTCAATATGAGGATTTATCCACCTCGGAAATTCTCGTACTAACTTCAAAAAGTCGATAACTGATTTTTGAAAAAATGAAACTGAAACTGATGTCCATAATATAACTGATATAAGTTTAATCTTGGTCTTGGTTATCAATTTGCGATGGTAAGTTCGCGTCCTGGAAATCCATTGATACTATTTTTAGTCTAGCTAGCTGGGCAATCATTTTGCTGATAACCTCTAATGCAGGAATTCGCCTGTTTTTGGTTAACATTGCATTTTATTGAAACCTGTTGGAGACCTCGTGACACAACAGAGGGAACTTCTAAATCATGTAACAACTATCTTCCTAATATCAAACCCGAGGCAGATACATGAACTGGTTAAATGCGACATCTCGACCTACAGAACTTATTTTATCGTATACATTTATCTTTCAGTGTGTATAAAAGTCGTGCCTTATCACCACTGAGGTATTTGTCGCATTCTCACGTAATAGGGGTGGAACGAGGGGTCGAAATTTGATAAATATGTAAAAAGGCACCTGCAGATTAGGGGTGTCGCCCTAAACACCAATCATCACATGATCCTGGCTTGTAGTGTCTCCCTAAACACCCGTCATCATATGATTCTGGGTGTTGGTGTCTCCCTAAATATCCGTAACCATAGAAACCTGGGTGTTGGTGTCGCCCTAAACACCCGTCATCACATGACCCTGGCTGTTGGTGTCTCCCTAAACATCCATCATCATAGAACCCTGGCTGTTTGTGTCGCCCTAAACACCCATCATCACATGGCCCTAGCTGTTGATGTCTCCCTAAACATCCGTCATCACAGAACCCTGGTTGTTGGTGTCTCCCTAAACATCCGTAACCATAAAACCCAGGCTGTTGGTGTCTCCCTAAACATCCGTCATCACAGAACCCTGGCTGTTGGTGTCTCCCTAATTATCCGTCATCACATGACCCTGGCCTTTGGTGTCTCACTTAACATTCGTCATCACATGAACTTGGCTGTTAGTGTCACTCTAGTTTGGTGCGCGTCACGATGATATTACTGAGAACTGCTTGTGGTGCATATTAAGAACATACATTGATCCGTTCATCAAACAAAAAACATACAATTCTAACATTTATAATTGTTATTTATTAAGCTAACAGAATTTTAAAAAAAACACAATCAAAGATGAAAGAAAAAAATCGATAACTAATTATGCAATTATCCGATATCTGAAGGCAGAAATGAGGAGTCAACGTTTTATGTTGGAGGATATTACAACCGTCGCAGGTTAAAACCGGGTCGTCGTCTATCCGGAGGCTATAACATAATGATATAACACCAGCAATAAATTGTTGATAAGTATCAATTAATTTGGTCGACATAAAATATAAAACATATTCATATAACATACCATTATTATAAAACATACCATAATAATATGATATAAAACATACATATAACGTATCATTGTAATATGATATACTATATTTATAAAACATACCATTTCATTCCGTTGAATATTAATGTAGCTGAGATGCATTAAAGATTTTTTTTCTGATGGTTCCACTACTCGTTTGAAATTCATGTTAAAGGTTTTCTTTAATGACAAAGACTCTAGAACATTTTGAAATGGTGTTTTACGATTTTAACGGTTAAAATAGCAAAAATAGAAACTCTCAAAAATAACAGCCTTCACAGTACAACGTTTTTTCTTTTTCTTTAATTAAAAAAAGGTTTTCAGCTCTATTAACCAATCAAAACCGACGTAACGGATTATGACATCATTTTACTCCAATGGAATTACTTGAAAGGTGATGATAGAAAAAATATAACTTTGATATAGAGATACTTACAACAGGCTCCACTTTTTATACGTATGTTGTCAATAGCAATGTCGCCCTTGTTCGATGATCCCTTCCAACCCGCAATGTAAATCTATAAGGTAGTTATTTACATATACTGGATGTTCGTTTCAAATGATCAAATTTTGAAAATGAAGAAATTTGTTGAATGTAGGTGTAAGTGCATCTTCACATCTGATATGTAAAATTAATTTAGACCAATTCGGATTTTCTCAGTCGCCTCCAACGTTTAAAAAATAAGTTATTAGCATCACTGACGAGTTCTACAAAGACGAACAGATGTAGATGTATGATGCAGTTTAATTCATTATTTGTCCATTGTATCTAATTATAAACTTATATTAAAATGTACTTTTCATGTGGGAGTCTATTTGCACAATATTGAAAAAAGCAATGTATATACGAAAAAAATATGAAATGTCACGTGATATCGACAATATAACAATTTCATGTTTTGTTCTTAATTCACAACAGTGAAATTACAGAAATTCCTATAACACCCACTCGGTTATTTTAACCTTAATTCTACAGAATTGACCACATGAATACTTAATATTCCTGAAATATTAAAATGAGCCAATATGATCAAAATATGTTTCATGGCAGCCAATCCAACTTTCCAATAAGATTTTTATTAAAGATGAAAAAACCTCCTACGCTCGTTCATACATTTATTTGGACTGTGCAAATGCTATACAAGTAAATAGCTCGAATTAATACAATAAAACAGTCATTTATTGTTTGGATAAAAAAATGCAAGCAATATTGTCATCTTCAATGTAATGCCAAAAACTCTAATTGCGGTGGATCCAAGTGCTTTAGTCTTGTTTGACCCGTTCACCATAGTAAAACTGACCCAGATAGTTGAAGCATCTGCAAGTAGCAAGATTAAACTTGCAGATACTGCTATGATTAAGTTCACTTCATATTCCACAATTACTTGTGAGTAACGATACTTTTTATCCAAAAAGCAAAAACAGGATTTCCTAAAATCCATTCAAAACACATCAATACATATTATAAATTTGTCTGAAAAAAATATTGACATTTACCGATGTCGAACTGGATGAGACAGTGATAGAAGCACTTTTCCAATCATCGCCATGACTTCCATACTGTTCCCACAGGTTTGTAAAGGGGCCGGGGGAATAGCCGTACACTTGGAGAGCGTATGTATTCCTTTTCATATGATAATTAAACATCATACATTTGTCCTGAGCTGTGAATACAAAATAGAAAAAAAAATCCCATATATGTTTTTTGCAAAATATTTTATTGTATTCGTACCAAAACAGAGTTAATACCAACATGCTAATAGAATTATTCAACTAATATTTGATGAAACTTGAACGAACTAACGTTGAACAAAATAAAGATTTACACGGAGACTCATGAAAAAGAACAGGAAGGATTAGACCAGGGCCTGTATTCATGAAACCGTTCTCATGTTCAAGCATGAATTTTGTACTCAAGCCTTATGTCTTGTTTAAGTTGAATATTAATAAATAAGGCTGATTTTGCCGAAGATTTGAAACAATTTTGAAAGGACTTCAAGTCAAAGTTATATTCCATGTTTATATTTGACATTTGTATTATTTTATATGATTTAGATGAATTATAAAAAAGTTTCTTTGAACACAAAATCTATGCTTGAGCATGAGAATGGTTTCATGAATATAGGCCCAGGTGTTCCGGAGGAGTATGCATCTATTGTTCTATCGACGACCACCGCCATTGAAATCTTGTATTAATTACGATCCCATTACCAGTAAAACTCTCCATAAATGCTTATTTAGCTTTATTACAGTATTTGTCAACTATTGAATTATATGGGAGACCCAGGGTTACAGGAACTGGACCCGTCAGTGGAAATTGGGGCATATAGCTTGCAATCCTATTGTTCCTGTAGTCCTGAGACTTTCCTTGGATTCTAAAGATGTTTGGTTTGTTATGTCATTGGAATTGTATCTCATGAATTGTTTGCACATTCGTTTCTAAATAATAATGCATATCTTATCTTATTTGTCAAAAGATTGATGAGTCGATAAGCTAATCACATTCTTTGGTTTACCTTATTATATTTATGTCCACATAAGAACGGTCAAACCATTATGACCTTTGCGCACTTAATGTTGACATTTAGATAATGAACACTTACCTGGTAAGTTTTCTCCTTTCAGAATTGCATAGGTGTTACTCTCCTTGCCATTGACCTCTATAAACATATACCTATTACCATCAAATGCACCGCTTGGACCTGTACCAGAAGTTGGGGTTGAGCCCTGCAACACAGCCAAAAACGTCTTTCAAAAATATTATTTCAAAATTCTGTAAAGTAAAAATTTATTCTGATTTGATAAAGTGTTACTACATATCTCTTTGGTTTATTCAGCATTTAAAAATATTCTTAATAGTCCGGTTCGACTTACACTAACAAACCTTTTTGTTTCTCAACTGCTCTACCGCTGGAAAGGTGATTTCATATTTATTTGATTCTAATAAATTATAATAGAGAATGCATTACAGTCATTGATAAAACAGAGTTACATTCTGTTTACTTGTTGGTATATTGTAAGCTATTCATAAAATTGAAAAGAAGGGGATGGTTGGTATTTTCAACATTATCGGTAAAAACATAAAATCTACATGTCACAAAATTACAACGACTTCAATCCATGCTAATATTATTTCATTTAGTGAACAAATATTCACGATTTCAATTTTTCAAATGATAAGCAATATTGCAAGAAGGTTGTAATTTAATTTTATCTTCCTTTTACATGTAAACAATGTTAGTGGACTATAGAAGTGTTATAGATTGTTATTAATAAACATCAAATTAATGAATATCAACTTATTTATGAATGGCAGTGTAGCTTCTAAAAGAAAAACAATTATTTCAAGCAAGGACCTTTGCAATTGTTATTTTCCAGGATACACAATTATAAATGATATCATTAGCAGCATTTAGAAAACAGAAGACAATTATATTGAGGTTCGCTATCAATGTATCCAATAGAAATTGTTTTTACAGAATTGACGGTCCAATCGAAGTAATCATCTATGTTATTGGTTCCTTGTGTTAGTCCACAGTTCGATTCTCCGACTTCAAACGAACAGGTCATGATGTCGGCGGCTTTATTTCAAAACAAAAACAAAAATAAATAACTAAATAGATCATGAAAAGCGGGTAAACAGAATCACCATTCCAAGTCAAATGCATGAAAACAAGACGTGAACCTTACAAAGATTTACACAGGGACCCATGTAAAGGTACAAGGAATATAAGAACAGATGTTCCTGAAGGATAAGCGTTTTTAGCATTTTCGACGACATCTACTATGTAAATTTTAGTTAATCAAAGTAAGAAACTTTATCAGCAACTCAATCACAGCAAAGCCATTCATTTATATAGATGTATATAACGGCAGTGCGATCATACAAATGAAAATGAAAAAGTGACACCTGACTTAACATCAAGTGCGTTCCTTTTTGAGGTCTGCAGCCATAACGGATGGCTCATTTAACGAATTTCATGTATATCTATGTCGAATAATATGCATTGAATTTAATACATGGTCACTGTAAATAACACAACTTCGAATAAAATAATCACGCCAAAAATCATGCGTTGCTTTACTACAATTGATATCTACGAATAATCTGATTTGATAATAAATATATGATTATGAAATATCAAAATATTAGTTGATAGTTTTCTCTGTTGTTGAACTGAAAAAAATAATTAATGAGTTATAATAATAAATATTATTTCGGGAAAAAAATCGGGAAAATACCATACTGTCAACATAAGCATCATCTTAACTCAAATTCAATCAAACAACAACAACAACAACAACAACAACAACAACAACAACAACAACAACAACAACAACAACAACAACAACAACAACAACAACAACAATCAAACAACAACAACAATAACAACAACGATCAAACAACAACAACAACAACAACAACAACAACAACAACAACAACAACAACAACAACAACAACAATAACAACAACAACAACAACAATCAAACAACAACAGCAACAACAACAACAACAATCAAACAACAACAACAACAACAACAACAACAACAACAACAACAACAACAACAACAACAATCAAACAACAACAACGACAACAACAATCAAACAACGACAACAACAATCAAACAACGACAACAACAATCAAACAACAACAACAACAACAACAACAACAACAACAACAACAACAACAACGACAACAACAATCAAACAACAACATCAACAATAACAATCAAACAACAACAACAACAACAACAACAACAACAACGACAACAACAATCAAACAACAACAACAATCAAACAACAACAACAACAACAACAACAACAACAACAACAACAACAACAACAACAACAACAACAACAACAACAACAACAACAACAACAACAACAACAACAACAACAACAACAATCAAACAACAACAACAACAAACAACAACAACAACAACAACAACAACAACAACAACGATAAAAAAACAAACAACAACAACAACAACAACAACAACAACAACAACAACAACAACAACAACAACAACAACAACAACAACGATCAAACAACAACAACAATCAAACAACAACAACAACAATCAAACAACAACAACAACAACAACAACAATAAAACAACAACAACAACAATCAAACAACAACAACAACAACAATCAAACAACAACAACAACAACAACAACACAACAAAAACAACAACAACAACAACAACAACAACAATAACAACAACGATCAAACAACAACAACAATCAAACAACAACAACAACAACAACAATCAAACAACAACAACAACAACAATCAAACAACAACAACAACAACAATCAAACAATAACAACAACGATCAAACAACAACAACAACAACAACAACAATAACAACAACGATCAAACAACAACAACAATCAAACAACAACAACAACAACAACAATCAAACAACAACAACAACAATCAAACAACAACAACAACAATCAAACAACAACAACAATCAAACAACAACAACAACAACAACAACAACAACAACAACAACAATCAAACAACAACAACAACAATCAAACAACAACAACAACAATCAAACAATGGAAATGTTAACATTGAGACAAGGACAAGAAGAAAATGAATAAGAATAAGAGTCTTTTGCTTCATGGACGACATTCGCTATATAAATCTCAGTCAATCAACATTAGTAATGTCACGTTCTTACAGGAGAACAAGGCCGAACAATTAATTAAAGATAAAAACAAAAAATGATGAAATAGAACTGTACAACAATTGAAAATTATCGACTGCTCTTTAGGTTGTTGAAAATGTTTTGTAAGAAACTTCTAATCAAACGGAGTTGCTGCGATGTATAATGACAAGGCATGTATAAACGAGAATATGGACCTCCAAAAGCCTAAACTATCCTCAAATATCCCTACTTAAATAATCAACAAGAAGTAGCAAATAGATTACTTACAATTTGGTCAGGGCCTCTTAGGTATGTATATATATGTCAAAGGTCACGGTCAAGGTAACATGGTCAAAACTTTTGGTATCATAGCAAAGGTCTTCTCACCAGCAACACACATGCCAAATACGAAAGCCCTACGTCTTACTGTGCAATAGTTATTAGCAAGGTAAAGTTGACAACAGACAAAGAAACAAACAGACAACACAAAAATCAATACGCCTCCGATCTTTCTATCCGTGTGCAAAAAAAACCCAGGAAACATCATTAGTACTTACATGTTATATCACAGTTGTTTCCACTAAATCCGGTAGCACATTGACATGTGTAAGATGACCCGGAAGCTGTACATGTTCCACTATTCTGACACGGATTGGTTGCGCATGGGCCTACAATTATCATATATCGTATACATTTTTCCTCTTAAAATATTCAATGTTATTGTGCACATTCAACCTGGATAACCAACAGATAGAATTGGTATTGTATAAATACAGAAACAAGTTCCTTAACGTGACATGATGCTTTTTAGCAAGTTTTCATGAAAAAGAAAACACATTCTATTGACGGTACCATATCCAAGGATATAGAAATATTCAAGTGTTCACCAATAAATTGCGATAAGATTAAAGAAAGTAGACACAAACTTGTTACATCACAGTTGTTTCCGCTAAAGCCGGTAGCACATTGACATGTGTATGTTGACCCGGAAACTGTACATGTTCCACTGTTCTGGCACGGACTAGTTGCGCATGGATCTACAATTATCATGTAAAAGTATTTTTAATATTCTTTTCCAAGTTTTAAATACATGTTTGTGATCCATGTTTAATTAACTGTCTTTCGCTTACGGAGAAATAGTACTGCTTTTGTCCTATTTATACTTGATACCCATATATAGGGTTGGTATTACATTACAATAGAAACAAGTTGATGGATGAAGCTGTTTAGCAAGAAAAACGCACATGCTATCCTATTAAATATACCATACATTAAAAGGATACGTACGACTTTGAAATCGACAAGGTTATGACAATATATAAGGTAATGAACGTGTACATAATCGATAATCGGCAATACGGAAGCCTGTAAACGATAACAACATTAACAGGTTCCAATGCTTGCCTACGTACATTCCTGATGAAATCTGATCGCAAACATCAGCTGTTTTGTATTATAGGCATCACTGGGGTTTTTTCAATCAACGATTTTTGAAAAAGAGAACGCTTTCTTTTGTATAAAGGCATGTTGCTGTCCAAACTTCCCTAAATATCTCCTTAACATATTGAAATATTGAAATCTTCTGACAGATTTCCATTATATTAAAGAAAATAAACTTGGTGAAACAAACTTGTAACGTCACAGCTGTTTCCAATAAAACCGGTAGTACATTGGCATGTGTAGGATGACCCGGAAGCTGTACATGTTCCACCATTCTGGCACGGATTGGTTGCGCATGGACCTACAACAGGTCGATTTTTAAAAAATATTTCTTTTAGTAAATATGCCCTAACCGACACACATAATATTTATCATTATTCATAGAAAGGATATGTATACGGTATTCAAAATAATCAAACGGTGTTCCATTTGAAATGATGCATACTGGTTATCCATGTATGAAAAACATCAAAGTATATTTGTGGAGGTTTTAAAATCCTAATGAGTTTGTGTAGTACATATAGATATCAAACTTTGCCATTTGATAAAATAACAGATCGACACTTTTATTCTTATCTGTCTATTACAGTTTATCATGATATCAATGTTACTTACGAAAGTTTAAAAAAAGCTTTCGGGAAACACTTATGATGTCACAAATTCCTCTAACATAAAATAACATAGATTAACAAAAAAGTTATAAGAGATAATTTTTTCTACTGTTTGCGAACCAAAATATTAAACAGGTACATAATTTGTTGTATATACATAAACTTTAAATAGTTAATGCGACAATGTGTCGCGGAACACGAAAACTACGTGACGTTTCATTGGCGCAAGTTTTGATAGTATCATAAAAAGGAGTCGTCGACAGAGAGCAATGTCAATTTAACACGGAGTGTAAGCAAGAAGGGTTCCTGTAAATTTCTGTTGAGTATATACCAGTAGATAATAATTCCATACTGCCATTTCCATCCTGAATAACAGGAGTATTTAGTCCAATGACTAGTTACGCATTAACATTGCATCAATGTATGCTTACAAATTAGTCAGATAATTTTCAACTCGTTATTAATAAAATAAACTCATATATCAAAAAGCTTTTAGCTTCCCTAAAAATCTATTTCCGTATTTACTTTCATACCTTAATAGTTGTGGCTTAAGTTATTGAAAAATCAATTAAAGAAGATCAGTGATACAAACTTGCTACGTCACAGTTGTTTCCACTAAAGCCGGTAGCACATTGACATGTGTATGATGACCCGGAGGCTGTACATGTTCCACTGTTCTGGCACGGATTAGTTGCGCATGCATCTGTAAGGATATGTACGTATATAATCAATTTGATATTTCTTTTGTTGTCATCAAAGTATTTGCGAATGTGCGAGATCTGCTATTTGAGCATGTGACGTTTTGTGTTCATACTCTTTTAGTTTGATGTTATTTCAGCTGATGAGATTTTATATACTAAAATTATGTGATAGCAATTTTGTATCACAGAGGGAAACGCAAATGTACAGGAACATACGGACACTTAAAACAAGTTCCTTCAGATCCATGTAGATTATAAATTGTGTATGGATGACTCGTGGATTTCTTGGCAACCATCTCAACTTCTACACATTTGTTTTAATGTTTATTGTGAGAAAAATAAAATGCTTTTTGGTTTACTTCGAAACAACTATTAAAATTCATCACTTATTTGGTTAATTGCCCAAAAGCAGTGTTTTATATGGAAATAATTCAGGACGTTGCTGTCAATTTGTCTCATCGATCAATCAAAGTTCGATTCATGAAACTTTTTCATTTTATTTGTAAAGAATTCCAAAATTTGATTCCGCTTAATTGAGCAATGTCGATTATACTGAAATTTGATACGCGAGTGGTTGAAACAAAATCGCAAAACTAATCATGTTATAATTAATTTTATAAAAGAATTTTGCAAAATATATAAAGAATTCATTTGCGTCATCATGCATACATCATCATCATCATCATCATCATCATCATCATCATCATCATCATCATCATCATCATCACCATCATCATCATCATGCTTTCGTTATCATCATCATCATCATCATCATCATCATCATCATCATCATCATCATCATCATCATTCTTTCGTCATCATCATTCTTTGGTCATCATCATTCTTTCGTCATCATCATCATCACCAACATCATCATCATCATCATCATCATCATCATCATCATCATCATCATCATCATCATCATCATCATTCTTTCGTCATCACCATCATCAACAACAGCATCATCATCATTATGCTTTTGTCATCATCATCATCACCATCATCATCATCATGCTTTCGTTATCATCATCATCATCATCATCATCATCATCATCATCATCATCATCATCATCATCATTCTTTCGTCATCATCATTCTTTGGTCATCATCATTCTTTCGTCATCATCATCATCACCAACATCATCATCATGATCTCGTTATCACAATCATCATCATCATCATCATCATCATGATCACCATCATCATCATGCTTTCGTCATCAGTATTCTTTCGTCATCACCATCATCAACAACAGCATCATCATCATTATGCTTTTGTCATCATCATCATCATCATCATCATCATCATCATTATCATCATCATCATCCATAATAATTGTGACTTACTTATTGTTTCACATGTAGCTCCTGTATATCCACCCGTACAGGTACAGCTGTATGTTGAACCTGATGAGCTGCAAACTCCTCCGTTTTTACATGGTGATGTAGCACATGGACCTGTTAAACCTATGGTCAAAAAGTTATTTCTAGTCACTAATATATATAAATCCATAAAGAACTCAAAACCTTAACATACTTTATCCTTTAACAGATATAATTTATGTATTCATGAGTAACAAAGCAGATATATCTTGATCCGAAATTCTCACAAAAAGAAATTCTATGACATTTTCTTTATTATTTCAACATTATTTAAACAAATCTCTACATGAACTGTTTTCTTACTGGTTTCACAAGTCAATCCTTCAAATCCAGCGGCACAAGAACAGGTAAAGGAATCCGCTGTCCCAGAGCATGTTCCTCCGTTCTGACAGGGATTGTTGATACAGATGTAAGTCACTTCAAATCAAATATAAATTAATTAATATCAATATTATATAGACTAATAGCAAGGAACATGTTACCACATTTATATAGATACCTACAATACCATGGTCTAGCACATATTGTCAAGCTTTTTTTAGAAACCGTGATGTCTCTTAAATAGACCCTCCCAGCCTGCAATTCCACTCCTCAAAAATATGAAAAGCTCAAATGATTCTATATCTGTATCATCCTAACAACGCCAATAACAAGTGGCACTTGAAAGTGGAACCGGAAATTTGATCTTGATAATGGAAAATGTAAAGAAATATTTGAAATATTACACTTATGGTTTTTATGGTTGAATCACATTTCCGATTGCAAAGTAGTTCTGTTGGGGCTAAAACGTAATCTAGAGGAAATCCTTTGACCGTGTCCAAAGATTCTACTAATGACATTTAACATCTAAATGCTGCAGATGACACATTATACAAACTAGCATTTAAATATTATATATATATATATACTAAACAAAAAAAGAAAGGTAACACTACTTTATTCTGTGATTAATTAATTAACCCCTTCATAAATCCTTACCAATCATGTACGAATAAAGTAATTGATCAATTCTGATAAAACTGCAGTCATGGTTCATTATAAAACTTTGCGTTCAGTTGATTTTATTCGACTGTAAAGGACGTTGGCGTCAATTTCAAAGGTAACACCATTAGTAACGGGTATGGCCACCATTTGCGAAGTAAACATCATTGCAGCGTCGTCGCATGGAACTCGTAAACCGGCGGATAATTCGAGGAGAGATGTTGTTCCATTCAGCGATCAAGGCTTGGGCCAGCTCCTGCAAATTTGTCGGCTGATTTTGACGTTCTCTCACGCGTCGCCCAAGAACGTCCCAGACATGCTTAATGGTGGCCAATCTAACACCTGTACGTTATTCTGCTGCAAGAAAGTTCTGCTAACGCGACTGGTGTGCGCTGGTGCGTTATCCTGTTGAAAAATGGCGCCAACGCCATGGCGTCTTAATAATGGCAGAACCATTGGTCTTAAAATTTCGTCCCGATATCGAATGTCGGTTAATTTGCCATTTAACACAACAAGCCTGGTACGAGTCCCCCCACAAATACCACCCAAAACCATTACACTTCTGCCACCAAAGCGGTCCCGTTCTGCGACGCAGCAGTTCGCAAAAAGCTCCCCTCGTCGCCTCCACACTCTGCACCTTCCGTCACCGTGTTGCAGACAAAACCTGGACTCATATGAAAACAGAACATTGTTCCATTGTCGTAAGGCCCAACGACAGTGAACACGGGTCCAGTTACGCCGATTATTACGGTGACGTCGCAACAAATTGGGTCCAGTGTAGGAACGTCGCGCGTTCAATTGGTAGGCCCTCATCCTGTTGCGGACTGTTTGGGGAGACACACGACGCCCAAACAATGTCCTTGTAGTCTCTACTGCGGTTACGAATCGATTGCGCAAGTGTATCAATCGTATACGACAGTCATCCCTGGCGGTAGTTTTACGGGGTCGGCCGCTTCGGGGACGATCGGATGTTGACCGACTTTGGTTTAAACTACTTACCAACTGGCAAATTGTCTTAACACTGCAACCAAAATGCCGTGCAACTCGACGGCGAGACTCCCCAGCATGGATCATGCCTAGAGCCCTTTCTCTGTACTTGTGACAGCCGGGGCATAATGATAAAGTTGCTAGATAGCAAGATTCGGTGATTTCTAAGTCCTAAGGATCTAAGGAGCAGTTGTCAGTTTAAATGTTTATGAAATTCAAGCGAAGATACAAGTTAGTCGCAGAAAACCTCGTGCAGCTCTTTCGCTAATACAGACTTTCACGCTTGAATGATTTTGGTAACCCCCTTGGATTTTGTAATGTAAAACATTACCATTTTCTAATATTGCACAAACGTCATTTTGTTTTCACTCATTTACAGGTATTCGCCAAGGAAACATGTTAACCTTCCTTTTTGTTGAGTATATATATATGATTTTTAACATTTAATTAAGGTTAAAACAGTTAATGAAGGAAGTCATATCACCATCTACTAATCACACGTGTTGGTTTGAACTTGAAGCGAACAAGGTTCTAAAGGACTTCCATCACAATAATAGATTTTGCTATAAAAGCTTTAAAGGTACATATAAACTGATTTGTAAAAAACGTTTGGAAGAATATATCTTTGAAGGCTTTTTGCGTAGTTTGAAAGACCGTTAACTGACATTAAGCTTTATAACGATAACGAAATTATAAGTTTATGACGTCATCAGGCTACCAGCCACCCCCCCCCCCCCCTCGTTCTATGGCCGCGATAAGATTCAGTCATTGACATTGGCTTTAGTGAACGGGTGATTATTTAATTTTCATCATTATTTTTCACAGGAGTTTAAAATCTTTGTGGGCACTCTTGTCAATAATATACATTATTATGCACCATGACACTGCCATATTGTGTTACCATTAGCCTGATAAGTTAAGTCCAGAGGGAGCATTAGTTGACGTTTTTGTGGGTACTGTTGCTATGCAATACTTATGTGACGTCATGGGATCATTTGATAGGTCAGCTGATCATCGTAGTCTACGAGACAACAGTACAGTTGGAAAATTAACGATTCAAATCATGTTTGTCTCCATAAAACTGTATTTTGAGAAAAACCCACAAAATATTAATGGAAGATCTTTAATGTGGGTGGAAATATACCTTCCCGGAACGAGCACGGATTGTTTGGCAGAAACCCCGTCCTCTCAATGTATTTAATACACACGGATTACAATACTGTGATCATAAAAAGATCATTGATTTTTTACTTACCGTCTGAGCATGTCGCACCGGTGTAACCGCTGACACAGCTACATGTCGCTGCCCCATTCGTCTCTCCACACGTCCCCCCATTCTCACATGGGTTTGGTTTACAATTATCTGAATGTGAAAAGCGGAAGTGTTCTTATAACAATTTTCTGTTCTTCGTGACTTATCCTCATCTTAATAGTTTTGCGATTTATTACTACATCTAAAATCATTTTGTTTTCTGTTTAAAATCGTTTCCATCAAACATTTTCTGCCAATGTCAAGCTTCAAAAAAGGGTGACCGAAGATTCACAAAAATACATCAAGTAGGCTATTAGTATACTTATATATCCATCAAATGATGGAAACACGAAAGCAACTTAGTTTTAGTTCAGAACATTTTTCAAGCTGCATAAACTGCTAAATATATGTATAAAATAGAAAAATTGGTGACATTGGAAAACAAATCAAACAAAAATTTACAATGTCATATTGATATATTCAAAAACACTTATATCACGTGACATCGAACCGCGACATTGTGGCATAGAATACTGTAGGTGATATATTTGGTTTCATTAATATTTTGTAAGTTGTACACATTTTAATATTTAAAGTGAAAAAAAGTGAAAAACGCTAAAATTTATAAAAACAAAACCAAAGCAATACGCGTCAAATGTTGTCATTCGGATGTTCTCTAGATCGTTTGTGACTTATTACCGATCATAACAGCCATTGAAATAAAACATCTTAAATCCATTAAACAACACATTGCTTTTTAATGTGGACACCATAATGTCTATAAAAATATGACTACGATAAATTACTCACCACAAGCACCCGAATAGGCACGAATGTTGTCAATGGCAACATATGCATTTGTGTCAACAACTGATAACGACGTTAAAAATGCAATCTGAAACGGAATGAGGCAAGAATATCAAATTTTGTTAAACATTATTGCACTGGTGATTGACGTTTTATATCTGAAAGCAACAGGACATACTGACTAGTCAAGAGAATCTTAAATCAAAATCGATAAAATTTGGCAATTTTGCAAGGTAAGCGTATGTTTTCTTCATAGACCAATATAAATTGATAAGCTCACCAGCAGATGAAAGTACACGAATAAGTGTACACTAAAGTTATCGATTCCAATTGAGAAGACGTTATAAAATAGATAAAACAACACCGCAGTTACAGTATCAAGTGAAGCTAGAAATTGTTGACTAACAATTTGACGTAGTTTCGACAACATATAGCCAGTGACATGAAGGGTTTAGCATTAGCTAAACTACCGTAGATAGCGATATAACAGAGAATGGTTTGAAATCATTTTCATGTTTGCTTAAGGTACCCGTGTGACCTTGCAAAAATCAATACAATTCTCTTGAACTAATCTCATACCCTTCATTCTAACATCATTTCCCACACGCTGAAAAGGTGAAAAACCGCCAATACCTGTGTATGTCCAGTTGGTACATCTGTTTTAGCTAGTTTGTACTCGGTGAACGATTCTCCTGATCTAATCCATCTTGAATAGAGTGTGTAACCGGAAGATGTCGTAGAGTACACTCCAAAATTCCCAGGTGCTCCCGACATCACATAGTAAAATGTCAGACAATACTCTTCAGCTTGATAAATAGAATGTTATTCATTATGTACGATTCTCCATCATACTTTGATATTGGAAATATATCCAGTATGGGGATTTGAAAATATACCTTTATGTTTGCATAAGATGACAATATCAAGCAAGAGATAATGTCACCTCCCAATGCGTCATGTTCTGTAAATTAGGCGAAAACTTAACAAACAATGCTGAATATATGGATCAAATAACATCTACTAGAAACTACTGTCCCTTACTCTTATGGAAATCAAAACTTGATCAGGTGATTATGCTATGACCATATTGAAGGAAAATGTTCAGAGACAACAGTGCGACATAGGTGACACTAAATGTCCATCCTTCCAATTCGATAGTCGTTAAGCTTACTTGTTTACCTACAAAGAAATATATGTCCCTGGAACCGTTTAAAAAAACAAAAACAAAAATAAATAAAAAGAAGGGTTGGGCGGGGGGTGGAGGGGTGGGTTTGGTTCTAAGCGTTTAAGAAAAGATAAGTAAACTCAATTGTATATACCAGGCAGACCGGAAGAAGCGTAAAGCCAAGCTTGGTCATTGACCTGTCGTCCGTTATTACTTATGACCATGTAGTTTTGTCCATGTTGGGGTTTCGAAAGTCCTGTCGCTGACGAGCTTACAACCCAGTTAAACTGTCCATAACTCTTTGCTTCGAACGGACAGGTTTGTCCAGTCTCAAATGAACACCCGGTACCTGTAACACAGTAGGTATCATTGTGATAAATTGACATGCAGTAGAACTCTGCATATTATTTAGAAAATTAAATCGAGACAAAACATTGATCAATAGTTTAACTGATTTAAAAGAATGGACTTTCTCATTCTGTATATTGATCAACGATATTATATTCTCTATTACAAAATAAGATCCGAAATGTATGATTTGTATATTTAGACATATATTAATATAAAAATAAAACACACACATTTTCATTCCAGTCTGTCACATTCTATTGTATCACAGAAAGTTACTTAGAAGATGAACAAGTTTCAGTATGTCATGAAAAATATAAGGGTTATTGATTCTGTTCTGATGATTTGAAATAACAACTCACCACTGTCTGAACATGAATCACCGATGAAGTTAGTGGCACAAACACAATAAAAATCGGATTGGCCAACACTTTGGCAGCTGCCACTATTCTGGCAAGGATTTGTTGTACAAACATCTGCAAAAATAATGGCAAAAGAAAAGCTAAAATAATGAAATGATTTGTATTTGACAAGACATTAGTTCTGGATCAGTAAAAGGTGGCCAACATAGATATATGCCATTCATTTATTTCTATTCTTGTGGCTTTTGACTATTGATAACGGATAACTGATCAGGTACATAACTTGATGACATTATTGTGTGAATATGAAACTAATCTGTTCCGGGATACACTTTATTGCACATAGCTGTTCACAAGTGGTCGAGAATGATCTGAATATATATCAGGGTTGAGGTAAAGTGAGAGGCTGGATGAACAACTTGCGGCACTTGTCATAGAGTACAACTAAAATAAATTCAATTATCTTCCGGTTGTTCCGATGTGTAACGTCATCACTATATGGGGATTTTATAGATGTTAAACTTATCTGGTATCATATTACTTTCAGGGTTTCGAACAAAATGATAGAGACATACATTACGGAAACAGAGTAACAAAAATGTTGAAGAAGAAAATATTGACAAAATTACCTTCTTTACAAAAATCAAAACATTTGCAAAAATGTACTGGTTTTATCGCTCTTTTGTCACCCTTGATCCTAATTTTAGTTTATTGTCTATAGGGTAATTCAATTTTAATGGATCTAGAGTGGTTCTCGTATGAAGATCAGCTGTAGATATGGAGAAATTGCGTTGTTATAAGTGATTTTACATACCTGTTTGGTGGCATGAAGTCCCATAAAACCCAGCAGGGCAATTACAATAAAAATTAGTATTTCCAGTTTGTATGCATGTAGCTCCATTTTGACATGTGCTGGACGATGAACATACATCTACAAAAACAGGTACAGAAAATAGTTTCTAAGCTGAAAAATAATTAATGCCAGTTTTATAACTACATTACCTATCACTTTACCATATTTCAATCCATTATTATGTTCTTGTATACGACATCTTTCTTCAAATCTGCGATTTTCTATTTTATGATCAATTATGATTAAATCATTCCGTTTCCCATTTTCGACTCTCGAGCTTGTATCCCCCTTCTTCAGAAAATATTCGATGTAATTTTGTTAGATAGGGTTAATTAATATTTGGTCTAGACACTTTATTATTATTTTTTATTATTTCTCTCTGAAATAGATATTTCAGAATCCGAAAATTGAAATGAAACATCTAAGTCAAATGCTGAAACTTGCGTTACATTGAGTTTCATTAAGTCATTAGTATCAATTTATTTTTGAAGTTACGGATAACGATCATTTTTAATTACTGATTTCTTATACATAATATCAGGTATTTTATTCAAGAACTTTTTCAGACAAATTAAACTGTCGTATCAGAAACTCACCTTGTGCATTGCATGTTGTTCCCCAAAATCCAGCCGCGCATTTACACGTGAATGTATCACCATTCATTGAACACGTACCACCATTACTGCAGGGGTTAACAGGTGCACAGAGATCTATGAATGAAGCAATATTTTGTTCAATCTTGTTTAAAAAGTGCAAAATATTACAAGAAAATGATCAGCATTTTCATGGGAGTGATGTTCTCTAAATCATTTATGAGTCCACTCATTGCTATCGACAATTAAAACAAAAAAACATGCATGTGTGTGTCGACGCATCGTTAAACTAATTTGTTTTGAATATAACAGTAAATACATAGATCTGAACCTCAAGTTTGACAAACAACTTTGTTCAAACTTTACCTAGGAAATGGGTGAAAATCGCCTCATAAACATATTGATGTAATATGAGCTAAAAAGGAGCGATGTTCACAATCACTCGGTGTAACCATGAATTATATTCATATATATTAGATTTCCTCTTTCAATCAATCATCAACATTGGAATTTAAAAAGTGAGAAAATAAGCGAAAATTACAATACCCTCGATTTCGCATGTTTTCCCAGTGAAACCGGTCACACAGTTACAGGACAGTACGCCATTTGTGTTGGTGCACGTGCCACCATTACTACATGTGTCTGTGAGGCACTCAACTTGAGGGAAAAAAATATATGCACAAATAATATCTATATATATATATTCAAATACAATTTTATTCTTGTTTTCACATCACTATCTTGTCTTGAACGATGCGTTAGTTTAAACATCGGTTATTTCATAACGCATATGTGTGCAGGGAATGATCTGCCCTTCACTAATTATTGTCTTACCCTGAAAACATGACAATCTCTACCAGATTAATAATTCTAAGAAGCTAGGAAGTCTTGATGTATATCGTTTGATATGTTTTCTATTAAAACCTCTTATGTAACTTTGTGGTCTCCTAACTCTTAACAAGTAATTTGTATTAATATGTTTATTTAAACCGTACTTGTCTCATGATCAGTCACGTGTCAGACTGTTAGAGATAATTCTTAATTGTTAGATACACTTATTTATATACCACGACACAGAACGAATGCTACTGAAACACCAAAACGTAATATCTGAAATTAGATAACGATTCGGTTTTAGAAAAGTTAACACTAAATTCAATTTACAAAATGTAGTTTATTTTTTAAGATATAACTAACGTACAGCATAATAGAAAAATAATAAAAAAAACCTTTATCAAAAACGAAGATACATTTAACCTCAATATAAAGGATGGCGATTATTATCTAATTAGTATGTATTGTACTGTTGCAATTCTCAGCATAAAATTTCTTTAGACTTTTGCTGTAACATGCGAAATATATTTCAGTTTATATTACCACTGAAAAATATGAAAATGGAAACAAACATTTCTAGAAACAAATCGACAGTTCTGTATACACACCGATCGCTTCGCATGTTTCTCCTTTGAACCCGGTTTTGCAGGCACAACTCATACTGTTTCCTGTCTGTGAACAGGTTCCTCCATTTTGACATGGGTTTGGAGAACACAAATCTATGTAGAGAAACATTAGTATATTGCATAGATATATAAAACTTCTCATTTGTCAGTTAAAAAATTACACAGTAAAATATACAGTTATCAATATAATCTTAGCGTATTTCTGTTCAGTTATAATCCTAGCATATCCTGCATATTTACATGTACGTGAATCTATTTTGTGTGTTGACCTGATTTCCTCCGAGAAACAACCTAGAATATACCCATGTACTTATGCATGTCCCTAGCAACACACTTTTAAGATTTTTAACTTTTTTAACCTGTTTACTATTCATTGGGATTGGCTAATAAATGTTACACTGTTAAAGTGTTTCGTTTAGCCAGGTGGTAAACTTCTTTCGCTATATAAAACTCTTCAAACATGGTGAATAAGATGTATATCTGTTTGTTTAATCCTGCTGATATAGAGAAACAGGGACACGTCAGACATAAAATAGTTGCATTCTATTGACACGAAAAGAAACTTGCAAAGTTGACTTAATTTCAAAAGCCGGCCGCCTTAAAATACGAAGCATTGGATGATACCAGTCCGATAAACAGATGTTAATGAAACCAAACAATCGAAATAAAGCCACCAAATATACAAAATAGTCGAGTACCTGGCTATCATCCAATTACCAATAAAAAATGCAAAATAGTCGAGTACCTGGCTATCATCCAATGAACAATCAAAAATGCAAAATAGTCGAGTACCTGGCTATCATCCAATGAACAATCAAAAATGCAAAATAGTCGAGTACCTGGGTATCATCCAATGACCAGTCAAAAATACAAAATAGTCGAGTACCTGGCTATCATCCAATTACCAATAAAAAGTCAAGATTCTCCAAAGCAGACAGAGAATAGACGACCTGTTACAATAGTTCATGATCCTGTCTAGGATTTCGAACCTTTCAGTATAATTTAATCAAAAATGATTACATGCATATACTTACCACATTTGCCTGGAAAGACAGAAATGTCGTCAAGATATAATCCAAAGCCAGCTCCGTACACACCTCTAAAATACACCTGTCAACGGCAAATTATATTACCGTCAGTCAGAAAAATAGTCCTTGTTCATATTAAGATAATGAGATGCGGAATAAAATTTGTGCTAAAAGGTGTCATTCACTTGTGTGTCGTTTTTATATTAATCATATGATATTTGGTGTTATATAGAACATTGACAAACATCCAGTAAATTTTAATGCGATTGGTTGACATATAAATCGTCCAATTTTCTAAACCCGGTTCATATTAAGAAACAAAGATGCATATAAAATGATATCAACATGCACATTGACCAAATATATGAATGTCATAAAATCATTCTGTATAACATGATGTCGAACTGTTAAAATCTAAAATCTTAAGAAGTAATTTTATACATTTAACATTGAGAAGTATTGTTATGCTACTGTGACAAATCTTCACCCGCATCTTAAATTCTAATCACCTAAACATATGATTTTGGTATATTCCTAATCAGTATGCGGCTGGTCATATGAGCTGCAAGCACTCACTGTTACAAGGTCTGTTTAAATTTCATCTCCAAAATCCAGAATTGAAGATTTCGAAAGAATCTCGTTGTTATCTGTAGCCGGTAGCTTTTGCAAATTAGCCAAAAATCATATTTTTTAGCCAACTGAACGCGTTTCATGACATGCATAAAACATATGATATTGTTATTGGTACCTTTCGATTTGTACTTGAAGAAGATGCTGTTATCTCATGTTCTTTCGATACCCATGCGTTTAGCCCAGTGTTTGTGATAGTCAGAATGTCTCGGGGACTGGAATTGGCATCATCGCTGACCTGGAGGGATAGTTGTGTGGCCGAGTTTTGGTCATTATTAACAATAGTTTTGAACCGCACACACAGTGCAACATCATCTGTGTAAAATAACAAAAAAGAAACGTTGTCTTGTGAAACATCGAAGCATTAAATCATCAAAGGGTGGCACGCTGAATAAATTGATTAAAACAGACACTTTTTCTCAGTTGAAGCTGACATGTTATTTGTTTAACGAAATCTTCGAAATACAACATCACTCAGTACTATTTCACATTCACAAGACAATATTCAGTCCTTTTGGTATGATCCAAAAATATCTCAAGAAAAAACTGTAAATTCCCGGTCAGTTGAAAGTAAACACTGTATGCACAAATAACGTTGTAACTGTTCTTCATTGCACCGTTTATTAGCCACTCTTGTTTACATTTCAGCCTCTTTTGTGAATTAAAACATGAGAATTAATGTGCAAATTTAATCCATAGAAATATTTAGATGTAAACTCTTGAAATGTACTAAAAGAATTAAGACCAGGTGCACCGGAATGTAAGCGTATTCATCATTATCGACTAAATCAACCATGTGAATATATGCCAATCCATGTAGGTACTGTCTCATTCCCAAATGAGAACAACATAAACAGCAACGAAACGTATATTAACGAGCGCCATCTTCGTTTCCATCTAAGTAGGATATTGAATATAAAAGAGCCCTCTAGCATTAAAACAATGCACTTGTTACATTCATTTATTAGTGGTTCAAGTAGTATATGTTTCAAAGAGCTTTCAGGATACTCGAATTGTTCCGGAAATATTGCGTTCGTTGAATCGTAGAGATCACGGCCCCATCTTTATTGTAATGTGGAGTATTTTCCGCTTCTACTATATCCACTGTATCTATTGTTTAACAACTGCATATTACATGCTTTATACAATTAAAAATTAATGTTTAAGTCACGGATGCGTTTTATAATTAAAGACTTTTTTCAAAACCTAAACCAACACAATTGATTTTTTTTCAAAACCAAAAACGAAGAAATCAAATGTTGCAAGTGAATGTGTGGCGAAATGTTATCATAACAAATTACAGCCATCAACAACTTCCAGTATGATGTTTGTTCTAGTACAACAACTAAATACAAAACCATTGCATTCCTAAAAATTGCAATATATTCCTTTAAACAGAATCCTATATATAAATTTTAGTAGCAGATGTTTGTTTTAAAATTATTTTTGGTGAAAGCATATCATATAATGCCGGATTTACACGGAATTTAAATTATACACATCAATATAGAAATAAAAAGAATGTTTTTTTGATATTTCAAAAAAACCATCGCTCCAATATATTCCATACGTTTAGCCACACAATTATATTGAAAACATTCATTAACAGATCACCATAGTCAATACTAGGCCAAAGGAACTACTAGAGGCATATCGATACAAAGCAGACCAACTCGCATGGTACAAACATATTTTTCATGTGATTCTGCACAGAACAATGGGACACTGTAAACTTGTTTCAGCGGATTTTTTGAACTCGCTTTTTATAAATCTACACTTAAAATACTAGTTCAAGAAGGACAAAACAGCAGAAAGTTGCAAATTAATTAATTCAGTATCATACACTTTATCTTGTACTGAATCAGTATTGCAATCTATGGATAAAAATTATAACTGTACATAATATTACATCGACCCGTTCCTATTTTAATTACCGGGTTGCGACAGTTTTATCACCCGGTTCTCAATCCGTTTTAAAATACCCCAGGACCTACTGGACCTACCTGGAAACGTAACGTCAGACACTAATGTAGCAGCATCGGTAGTCAGATAACTGCCAGTCGGTTGTACTTGGTAGAAAGTAAGGCCATCTGCCGGTTTCGGTGGGTCGGTAGACTTTCCCTATAGGGAAAAGGTTAAGATTTGGGAATACTTGTGCAAGCTAGTTAGTAGTAAGTTTGCAAAATAATTTTACAAATACAAATGTAATTTCTGTGCTTAAAATATTTTATATTCCTTTAAAAAGACTTGTAATGGGATATTCCTACAATCCCTTATAGTTCCGTGGTTTTCGATCAAATGTATATATAGTCGCGGATTCTAATAGTGATTACTCTGCAAACAAATATCCTCTTATGATAACTTACGGAATTTTCGCCTATCACTGAGCCTGATTGTTGTAACCATCTTCATTCTCTGGAAATATGTCTAGGGAGAACTGTTTGGCGCTGACGTACTTACTGATAAGATGGTTTCTCCAAATTGCATCGAAGTCCCTCCTTGATTTTTCAAAAAGCACGGTCCATCAATATCAATGTCTGTGCCCTCATTACACGAAACGGCTCCTGTAAAATATTGTTAAAAAAACCCTGATATGTCGAACACGCTGTCTGAAGAGATCAGACTGATCGATATTATAAATGTGGACGTGAAATAAACTACATGAATGCATGCACTGATTCTATTCCGATATTTTAGGTACTCCACGTATCCAGTTTTGTCATTGTTTGCAATCATTGATTTAGCTTTTTTTTTCGTTTAAGATTCTTTTTAATGTGTTTGATTCAGTGGGTTCCGCATGATATCCATATAAATAGTTATTGTTACATACCTGTAGCTAAGCTACAATCGGTGCCCCCAATGCCTGTTGGGCATGCGCAGACAAAGGCGCCGGCCTGACTCATATCTTCGGTGCATGTGCCACCATTCTTACATGGCCTATTTAAGCAACCTATAAAACGATAATATAATTTTTTACTACCGAAAGTATCCCTAGATTTCATATCATGTTTTCTGTAATGTTCATTACAATAAAGTAATCTGTTAAAGAAGTCACACTAATAACAGCAAAAACATGGAAAGATAAAAACAAGAAAACATGGAAAGATAAAAACAAGAAAACATGGAAAGATAAAAACAAGAAAACATGGAAAGATAAAAACAAGAAAACATGGAAAGATAAAAACAAGAAAAAACAAGAAAACATGGAAAGATAAAAACAAGAAAACATGGAAAGATAAAAACAAGAAAACATGGAAAGATAAAAACAAGAAAACATGGAAAAAAAAGAAAACATGGAAAGATAAAAAAAAAAAAGAAAACATGGAAAGATAAAAACAAGAAAACATGGAAAAAAAAGAAAACATGGAAAGATAAAAAAAAGACATGGAAAGATAAAAACAAGAAAACATGGAAAAAAAGAAAACATGGAAAGATAAAAAAAAGAAAACATGGAAAAAAAAGAAAACATGGAAAGATAAAAACAAGAAAACATGGAAAAACAAGAAAACATGGAAAGATAAAAAAAAAAAGAAAACATGGAAAGATAAAAACAAGAAAACATGGAAAAAAAAGAAAACATGGAAAGATAAAAAAAAAAAAGAAAACATGGAAAGATAAAAAAAAGAAAACATGGAAAGATAAAAACAAGAAAACATGGAAAGATACAAAAAAAAAAAACATGGAAAGATAAAAAAAAAACATGGAAAGATAAAAAAAAGAAAACATGGAAAGATAAAAAAAAAAGAAAACATGGAAAGATAAAAAAAAGAAAACATGGAAAGATAAAAAAAAGAAAACATGGAAAGATAAAAAAAAAAAACATGGAAAGATAAAAAAAAAAAGAAAACATGGAAAGATAAAAAAAAGAAAACATGGAAAGATAAAAAAAAGAAAACATGGAAAGATAAAAACAAGAAAACATGGAAAGATAAAAACAAGAAAACATGGAAAGATAAAAAAAAGAAAACATGGAAAGATAAAAACAAGAAAACATGGAAAGATAAAAAAAAAGAAAACATGGAAAGATAAAAAAAGAAAACATGGAAAGATAAAAACAAGAAAACATGGAAAGATAAAAACAAGAAAACATGGAAAGATAAAAAAAAGAAAACATGGAAAGATAAAAAAAAAAGAAAACATGGAAAAATAAAAACAAGAAAACATGGAAACATAAAAACAAGAAAACATGGAAAGATAAAAACAAGAAAAAATGGAAAGATAAAAAAAAGAAAACATGGAAAGATAAAAACAAGAAAACATGGAAACATAAAAACAAGAAAACATGGAAAGATAAAAAAAAGAAAACATGGAAAGATAAAAACAAGAAAACATGGAAACATAAAAACAAGAAAACATGGAAAGATAAAAAAAAGAAAACATGGAAAGATAAAAAAAAGAAAACATGGAAAGATAAAAAAAGAAGAAAACATGGAAAGATAAAAACAAGAAAACATGGAAAGATAAAAACAAGAAAACATGGAAAGATAAAAAAAAGAAAACATGGAAAGATAAAAAAAAGAAAACATGGAAAGATAAAAAAAGAAGAAAACATGGAAAGATAAAAACAAGAAAACATGGAAACATAAAAACAAGAAAACATGGAAAGATAAAAACAAGAAAACATGGAAAGATAAAAAAAAGAAAACATGGAAAGATAAAAAAAGAAGAAAACATGGAAAGATAAAAACAAGAAAACATGGAAAGATAAAAAAAAAAGAAAACATGGAAAGATAAAAACAAGAAAACATGGAAAGATAAAAACAAGAAAACATGGAAAGATAAAAACAAGAAAACATGGAAAGATAAAAACAAGAAAACATGGAAAGATAAAAACAAGAAAACATGGAAAGATAAAAAAAAGAAAACATGGAAAGATAAAAAAAAGAAAACATGGAAAGATAAAAAAAAGAAAACATGGAAAGATAAAAAAAAGAAAACATGGAAACATAAAAACAAGAAAACATGTAAAGATAAAAAAAAGAAAACATGGAAAGATAAAAAAAAGAAAACATGGAAAGATAAAAAAAGAAGAAAACATGGAAAGATAAAAACAAGAAAACATGGAAAGATAAAAAAAAAGAAAACATGGAAAGATAAAAACAAGAAAACATGGAAAGATAAAAACAAGAAAACATGGAAAGATAAAAACAAGAAAACATGGAAAGATAAAAAAAACAAAACATGGAAAGATAAAAACAAGAAAACATGGAAAGATAAAAACAAGAAAACATGGAAAGATAAAAACAAGAAAACATGGAAAGATAAAAAAAAAGAAAACATGGAAAGATAAAAACAAGAAAACATGGAAAGATAAAAAAAACAAAACATGGAAAGATAAAAACAAGAAAACATGGAAAGATAAAAACAAGAAAACATGGAAAGATAAAAACAAGAAAACATGGAAAGATAAAAACAAGAAAACATGGAAAGATAAAAAAAAAGAAAACATGGAAAGATAAAAACAAGAAAACATGGAAAGATAAAAACAAGAAAACATGGAAAGATAAAAACAAGAAAACATGGAAAGATAAAAAAAAAAGAAAACATGGAAAGATAAAAACAAGAAAACATGGAAAGATAAAAACAAGAAAACATGGAAAGATAAAAACAAGAAAACATGGAAAGATAAAAACAAGAAAACATGGAAAGATAAAAAAAAAGAAAACATGGAAAGATAAAAACAAGAAAACATGGAAAGATAAAAACAAGAAAAAATGGAAAGATAAAAACAAGAAAACATGGAAAGATAAAAACAAGAAAACATGGAAAGATAAAAACAAGAAAACATGGAAAGATAAAAAAAAGAAAACATGGAAGGTTGAAAAAAAAAAAAAAAAAAACTCGACAAGAAATAGATTACCTAAAAATGACTTTTTCATTTTACTGTGCTACAGTAATTTTGTCGATTTCTACCACAATATAATACAGAACAGTTTAATGCAGAAATAGATTATAAACAGACATCATTTATGTAAAATGAATAAATCAATTAGGATTTCTTCAATTGTTAGCATCAAAGGATACATGATTAACGATCCAAAATGTTTTTCTGATTAAATTTCATACTTTTTCTGTCTGTTTATTTTTCAATTAAATGTATATCATTATGCTTAAAGACAAACTTGCATTTATTAAATTCATCACCGCAATGCTGCATATGGCATCTTATTGAACATTCAATTTTTCTCTTCCTTTGCCTGATGTAGATCAACCTCCGCCCCATCCCCTACAGTTTTCTTAATCATAATGGCTTTAGTACCTGACTTGAATGCTGTTACACGGAGAGAGAATCCGTTGCCAGCAGTGGTTGATTTCCCAGAAGTCGTATCCCAGATAACAGTAGCTATATGCGATTCAGAGTTGACTCCACTTAACATTGTTTTAGTCACAGTTGTAGTACCGCAAAACCTGTTGTATTTACATTCACATAATAACATTTAAGACGAGTAAGGTCATCATCCCGCATACATTTGAATACAAATGACCATGCATAATTCGACAAACATTTCAAGACTTTCTATCGACCCCTTTGAAATTGTTAGTAATAAAAAAAAATGGAAGTGAAAATTAGACATTTGTTTTTCATTATTTAAATCAACAAATAAATACATGAAAACGTAATCTATAACACACAGCATCATATAAGTGTTAAAATGTATTAAAGAAATAAATATTTATCTCAATACCTAGATATGTATCTCGTGTTAGAGTATATATTTCAAAATGAAATTATCCTATCAATCTAAACTATTTAAACTATCGTTTCCTTACTGAAGGATCATCGTATCACTATTAAGGATTCCCAATCTTAATGCAAAAACACTTATACGTCTTCTAGCTTTATGTTTCAATATCCATGCAGCTGATAATGTATGGTTTTGCATGTACCCTCCCGTACATCACAGTTCCAGTAATTTTAGTCTGTGTTTTGCTTACTCAGGGCCCGGTTCACCGATAAGATTATAACGGATTTCCAGCGTGTCCATGCATGTTGAGCTCTCTTCTGCGATATCCATATCGTTCAGCTCAAACTTTATCCTGGATCCGGCAGACGCCTGAAAATCATAATTTGTACAAATATTGTACAAAAGACATACAAGATAATGGCATCCTTTCATATTAATTTAGCGTTTGATAAAGTACAGTCAAATAATGAATTAAATTGCATCATACAGTTGTTTCGTCCTTCTACTACAAAGTAAGTTTGTTTGTGTCGATTGGTGTTATTAGTTTACAGCAGATTGTTTTTATTTCACTTAAAGATTTTAAATATGAGAACTCAAGCATCAAATCAAGTACTAATATGTAATAAACTGCTATTACGTTATAGTTGTAAAAAGGTGTAAAAACGGACATGTGAATAGGATCGTAATTAAGAGTGCTTTCAGTGTCTTCTTTTTAATGCATCATTAGATATATCATTTTAAGTGTATTTAAAGGAGTACATTACACTTGTATGTTATAAAGCTATGACATAGTTTCTGTGACATGGCATTAAAGTCAGGTAATAAACAAGGGGTTGCCAAGAACATAGATTTATGTTCTCTTGGAATATACATATTACAAAATCACATTACACATTTTATCTATCGTAGTTTATGTTCTAGAACTGTTTCTAAAGCATAGGACTGATTTATTACCTTTAATTGAAGATATAATTTACCTTGATCAAATAAACGCATTTTAGACCTTTGCTGTAAGTATTCGGATAGTTTAAAGACTGAATGAGTTGGCTCCCACTTTCCCCTAAAATTACAGTTCCGCTGCATGTTCCTGCAATTCATAGTACAGACATGGATTTAGGACATTTCAAAAGATTAATCGTAGCTTTCATCTATTGGCTGACATTCGATCGGACAAAAAAAGTATGTGAGGTCATCTTGTACAATGATAGAGACAAATGAAAACTAAAAGCTTGTTTCGTTGTCAATGTTGTAATAGGAATTGAATTTATAGTTAGAGGCGAACACAGGATATTTGAAATGCAAAGGGCAAATGAGAATGGAACATGTACAAAGTTTAAGAAAGAAGAACAGCTATCCAAATTGTATCGTGTATGTCACATTATAACCATAGAAATTGTAGATGTGGAAGCATATTGTAAATTGAAATATTATACGTTCATTGTTTCCGATATAAGATACTGCTTCATCATAAATATATTTTTAAAAATACTTAAAATAGAATAGGCAAGTTTATGCTGATTTTGCTAGGTGTGGCAAACGTAATAGAACAAGAAAAGATATTGAAATATTTAAATAAAATCCTCTACATACCACTACCAGTTAGTCCCTCACACGTCGAACCACTGAGATGTTCCGGGCACACACAAGTACAAACTGGATTATTGATAGTTTTAGTAGCAAATCCTCCGTTCTGACAAACTGTACTCGTACAATCTGCAGAGACAAAACCCCTTCATATCAGTAGAATTTATCTGGTATATTTTTGCAAATAAATACTTCGATTTCTGATGCCCATATTGCGTTACCTAAAATTTCCGAGAAAAAAAAACCCGGCATTTTTAACTCCTGTCATTTTGAGGTTTAACCATTAGATAGATATTGCTCATATTTGGTTGCCTTTTTCAAAATACCTTCCAAGAATATTAATGCTGTGGATCATTCCGATATCGCTAAACCGTTGTAAACTTAATAACAGAATATTTATTTTTCTGACAATATTACCTTTAGGTATACCTTCTCGAAACGTTATGCACACAGGCGTTCTTTCAATATCGTTTACCACAACAGGTATAAATACAATGATATTTACCACCACAGGTATAAATTCACTTAAATTTTCCAACACATGTATAAATTCACTAATATTTACCAACACAGGTATAAATTCACTATTATTAATCAACACAGTTATAAATTCATTAATATTTACCAACACAGGTATGAATTCACTAATATTTACCACCACAAGTATACATTCACTAATATTTACCACCACAAGTATACATCCACTAATATTTACCACCACAAGTATACATCCACTAATATTTACCAACACAAGTATACATTCACTAATATTTACCACCATAGGTATAAATTCACATATATTTACCACCACAAGTATACATTCACTAATATTTAACACCACAGGTATAAATTAACTCATATTTACCACCACAAGTATGCATCCACTAATACTTACTACCACAGGTATACATTCACTAATATTTACCACCACAGGTATACTTTCAGTAATAATTATATTTCATTTTTTATCAACTTACCTGATCCGCATTGGTACACGTTTGTGATAGCTTCGAGATCGTAAAATGAAAAGACATTCTTTGTGTCTTCCGTCAGGAATTCTAAATCTTTGTTTTTGATATTCATGGTTTCTTGTCCATTAGTTTTCGTAAATATCTACAATGAATAAATTTGAAATATCTCATTAGTATGTTAATACCTCATAAAATCATCAGTTGGAGTGATTCAATTTTAGCTATATTTTATTTTTTTAAACAGATCATAAATATATCACTTACAAAGCGAGAGTACATTAATACAGAGGCCAAACTGAATGGAACGGAGGAGGAGGATGTAAAAACGTCATCTGGCTCTGTAATATAGTTTCCTGCGGCATCAGCCTGAAGAGCGTCCCAATTAATAGTTAGAGCTTCCATCCTGTCCCGTCGTTGCTGCTCATGTGTTCCATCAATAGCATGCAGAAATTCGTGTAATACAACAAACATCTAACGAAAAATAAGAAATTATGGATATGTCAATTGATGAAATGAGGGCAAAATATGAACAAATGATATCTTCAAAAGATTAACTTGAGAATGAAAACAGATTTTCTGAATGGTAGGAGTTTTCTGCCTTGTCACCTTTTGAAAATCTGGAGATCCAAGAAATTAGAAAAAAAGTTAAGAATACAATAGATGTTATTCACATTGAATGGGCTTATATGTTCATTAATTCTGACGATAGTAAGAATTAATTCAAAAACCTAAAAAAATAATAAAGAACTATCAAATGTTTCATTTTTACGTGGCATACAGCTCTTACAACTCTGTTATAACAAAAAAGACCAGAGACATCATTCGCTATCACCGATCGTGTAACATGTTAACGTGAAATTGAACCCTTTAACAACAAAGACCAAAGACTTTATTCGCTATCACCGATCGTGTAACATGCTTACGTGAAAAAAAACCCTTTGCAACAAAGACCAAAGACTTTATTCGCTATCACCGATCGTGTAACATACTTACGTGAAAAAAACCCTTTTACATCAAAGACCAGAGACTATAGTTACTATCACAGATCATGTAACATACTTACGTGAAATAAAACCCTTTTACAACAAAGACCGAGACTGTAATCGCTATCAACGATCGTGTAACAGGCTTACGTGAAAAAAACCCTTTTGCAACAAAGACCAAAGACTTTATTCGCTATCACCGATCGTGTAACATGTTAACGTGAAATAGAACCCTTTAACAACAAAAACCAAAGACTTAATTCGCTATCAACGTTCGTGTAACATGCTTACGTGAAATAAAAGCCTTTTACAACAAAGACCGAGACTGTAATCGCTATCAACGATCGTGTAACATGCTTACGTGAAATAAAACCCTTTTGCAACAAAGACCAAAGATTTTATTCGCTATCACCGATCGTGTAACATGTTAACGTGAAATTGAACCCTTTAACAACAAAAACCAAGACTTTATTCGCTATCAACGTTCGTGTAACATGCTTACGTGAAATAAAAGCTTTTTACAACAAAAACCAAAGACTTTATTCGCTATCAACGTTCGTGTAACATGCTTAAGTGAAATAAAAGCCTTTTACAACAAAAACCAAAGACTTTATTCGCTATCAACGTTCGTGTAACATGCTTACGTGAAATAAAAGCCTTTTACAACAAAAACCAAAGACTTTATTCGCTATCAACGTTCGTGTAACATGCTTAAGTGAAATAAAAGCCTTTTACAACAAAAACCAAAGACTTTATTCGCTATCAACGTTCGTGTAACATGCTTACGTGAAATAAAAGCCTTTTACAACAAAGACCGAGACTGCAATCGCTATCAACGATCGTGTAACATGCTTACGTGAATTAAAACCCTTTTGCAACAAAGACCAAAGACTTTATTCGCTATCACCCATCGTGTAACATGTTAACGTGAAATTGAACCCTTTAACAACAAAAACCAAAGACTTTATTCGCTATCAACGTTCGTGTAACATGCTTACGTGAAATAAAAGCCTTTTACAACAAAAACCAAAGACTTTATTCGCTATCAACGTTCGTGTAACATACTTACGTAAAATAAAAGCCTTTTACAACAAAGACCGAGACTGCAATCGCTATCAACGATTGTGTAACATGCTTACGTGAATTAAAACCCTTTTGCAACAAAGACCAAAGACTTTATTCGCTATCACCCATCGTGTAACATGTTAACGTGAAATTGAACCCTTTAACAACAAAAACCAAAGACTTTATTCGCTATCAACGTTCGTGTAACATGCTTACGTGAAATAAAAGCCTTTTACAACAAAGACCGAGACTGTAATCGCTATCAACGATCGTGTAACATGCTTACGTGAAATAAAAACCCTTTTACAACAACATGTTACTGTGCCTATTATACTTACCGCGTTACACCCAGCGGATACATCTAAGTTAAAATGTATTGGGGTAGGAATACCAGAGTACTTCCCCACGCCCGCATAGCACCTACAATTAATGTATCAACGCAGATGTCTTTAACAACTCGTGTATGTAAAGGTGAATTGAGGTGCAAACTTTAGTACAAAAAGCATGGCCTCAAATGAAGCAAATCACAAGGGTCTCAAAATGACATTTTGTTCAAAACAACCTCCCTCTGTCGAAAACTGGACAGCCGTCAGAGTAAGGCAAACACAAAATAGGTAGATGTAGGAAATAATTATATTGACATCTAAATATAATTCTTATGAAACAAAAAAGATTTTTACCATATTATAATTTTGAGGAGATTTTAAAAAACACATTGAAATGAAAATAAATTACAGCAGAGTGTGATCTCAATATGCTGTTAATTATGAATTGAGCATTCTTGTACCAAGTAAAATATTTTCATTGTTTTGGTCTTTTATTCAAATAGGTTTGAGTCCTATTCCTAAATATATAGATAGACGTTGAGCTTAAATACATGCATACATCGTTACATTCTAAAGTACATTGTTTTGAATTGATAATCATAGAATTTTTTTCTATTCTAGCTTTGAGTTCTGTTAAACGAATTCTAATGATGAAGTAGTTATGAACTCATGATTGAATGATCAATCAAAGATCAAATCTAATTATGATATGTTATTAAGTGAAGAAACAACATGAAATTAGCATTAATAGGTATTTTACTTCATGTAAGCTGGCGGAGATTGCAGTCCTTAATTGACTGCCCCTGTTTAGAGGACAGTAAATTAAAGAATTAATGTAAAACAAATTGATTTTAATGAAAAATCATAATCTTTACACATGTATTTTTCTGAACAAATATACAGAAATTACTCTAAAAATAACTGAAAATCAATTACTTTGTTTTGCATTATACAGCAAAGTAAAGCATGCGCCATTTTGCCAGTGTACCGGAATATTTAGGTACTTTCCGTAAGCTAGAACGTAATCAAGAAGGGCTCAAATCGCGTTCAAATGAATACAATCTAAAATGATTAAATCTAGTTTTGATATGTTTTGTCACGGTCAATCAATTTGAATGAAATATCTTCATGGCAGAACAAATTAAACACAAATAATGTGTTAAAGTTTGTAAATCATCCAACAGTTCTTAATCTACATGTACTCGAAGAAGTATTTCAAAAAGCCAAACAAGTGAAAAGCGCTTCTCAAAACAAAGGTAAGTTTAAGTCACACAAAGGCATGAAATCAAGTACCCTTTAGTGTTGTCGCCAGTGATTTCAACATATTCACTACCGTCTTGTTCTGTTTTTGGTCTCCACTCTAGGCAGGTCTTTTCCTTGAATAATTCGACTGAATCCAGTATGAATCCGGGTATTCCACTTTGTGTAATGGACGGATTCGAGCTTGACTGAAAATAACTCACTGCGAAGATAAAACATCATATATAAGTTCATTAACGAGTGAATTACTCCAATATATAAGAATGGTCGTAATCTTCTTTATATCTGAATGCAATGATTGATATCGATATCATTTATAAATTTTATAGAACGTTTTTTTTATTTTATTAATTAAGATTACGTATGACAATATTTCACTATGAACTCTTTTGTCATTGTATATATTTATAACATTCTTATTGAACATTTATTTTTTTTATTATTTAAATTACGTATATCAATATTTCACGATGAACTCTTTTGTTATTGTATATGTTTAGAATATTCAATAAAATTAAGTATTAAGTATGCTTAAAAACATTTCTGTATATATTATCTACAATGGAATATGACAATGCACTAGAGCTACTTATCAATCGCTTATTACATTATTGTAGTGATTTCATCAATTCGGCATCAGGAAAAACGTTGTAAATAACATCCGTATGTTTGGTATTTGTTTGAGTGTAAATATTTTTGAGGTAAACATTGTCATTTACAGTGTTTATTTCTTTTGAAACAAATTATTAAGGATCGGGTTACTAGAAATGTACAACGCGTAATTTATTTGGAGAAAGCACGAGGAAAAACATCTGGGAATATTTAACCACATTTAAAAAATAATTTTGCTCATTGTAACATGTTCAACCCTTCAGCGCAAGGAAAAACTCGTGGACATAGTAAAAAATATTTTAAAAACATTGTCATTTGAATGTCAAAAAACATTATTTTACACAAAGAATAATTGATACTTGGAATAGTCTCCCTCAGTGGGTAATTTCATCACGTAACGCTCATGATTTTGAAAAACACCTAGACGATTTCTGGAAAGATCTTGAACTGAAGTACGATCATACAGCGTCTTATATCTAGTCTAATATTATGTTTATATTAATAATACATTGTATTGATGTGAATACAGATGCAGAAATCCCTGCGTTCACTATTATCCTATTAAATCCTATTAAATGTTTACTTTCCCCGAAGTGTAAGTGTGAGGCTACATACAATATCTGGTCGGTTTATATATATATATATATATATATATCTAATATGGTAACAGATTACGGAAATAAATTACTATCCTTTCACCATTATAATCACATTTCATCATTTCGAGAAATTTTATTTTTCAATCTTTCTTCTTTATCAAGCCTTAACAACTGTAATTGATAGTATTTGTACATTTGCGCATGAATTTTATTTATTTTTTAAATCACTACTTATGAAAGCTTTCATTACAAATATAGATGTTTTCAACAGTGCTAATGCTGTGAAACATCTGCCAGTAAAACTAGGCCCGTATTCATGTAAGCGTTCTCATGCTCAAGCATGCATTTTGTGCTCAAGCCATATGTCTTGTTTAAGTTAAAAATGAATAATTAAGACCGAGTTTGCCAAAGATTAAAGAATATAGAAAGGACTTCAAGTCAAAGTTATATTCATTGTTTATATTTGATATTTGTATTAATTTTATATGATTTAGGTGAATTATAAAAAAAAGTTTGCTTGGGCACAAAATCTATGCTTGAGCATGAGAATGTTTTTGTGAATACGGCCCCAGATCTCTCCGAGCGAATTTATCCTATGATCTGCCATACTCTACAGAAATGAATTGTAGTTGATCTGTAAGGTAAATAATGGACTATTTTGTTAATTTTATAACAACAGTGTCCTAGATAATCGACTGTCGACATTTTACATTATGTCATTGAAAGGTCAGCCAATATTTGTATACCACGGATTGTGACTTGATACAAGTGAATGTACTCTTGGAATATTTAAGATCATACCATTGACTGTAAGACAGTGCAAAATACATGCAGAATAATATCACTTTTTATTCCACATTAAGTATTAGACACAGCATACCCAAATAATGAATATAACTACATCATGCAGGTCTTCCGTTTTGCACCTGAAAGTTGACTAAAGAAAATCAAATGTCTGTATACATAAGTATTATATATATATATATGTTTGTTTACATACTCAATGAATTTGTGTCATATGGGACCACTCCTTTAGGCCATAGTCCATTCCCCGAAGTGTCGATGTATCTTTTCCTTCCTCCTGTGGTCTTTAGCTAGTGTACCATGCAATAAAAATGTCATTTGAGTTTGAAATTAGTGTTTTTATGACATCAATTCAGGAAGACAAGACACTCTTAATCGTCGAAGACTTCAAAACATAACAATAATTATTTCCATTTAGAAAATTAAAATTAAAACTCATATTATGAACGTTGTTGATATAATGTTAATTCCAGAACTGGTACCGATAACATGCGATATTTTTACGAGGTCACGCTACTCATTAGAACATCATTTGTAATCAATTTCACTACTTGCCGAGGTCCATCAAAGTCTATTCGTCATTTGTAATAGATTTCACTTCTTGCCGAAATACATAAAGAGACTGTACGTCATTTGTAATCAATTTCACTTCTTGCCAAAGTTCATAAAGAGAATGTACGTCATTTGTAATCAATTTCACTTCTTGCCAAAGTTCATACAGAGACTGAACGTCATTTGTAATCAATTTCACTACTTGCCAAAGTTCATAAAGAGACTGTACGTCATTTGTAATCATTTGTATGAATGCTACGATTAATAATTTTGCCTTCGAATGTAAGTGAGAAATTCATTGACTAAAGCCTGTGCTTATATGTCCACGATTTAATCTGATTAGGTTACCAAACGTTTTATTTCAAGTGAGAAAGAATATCAATTGATGCTGATTTTATATATCTCTTTACATATACCAAATTTTTAAGTTAGTTATATATTTTAAATACATAATACCATTACTTATTAACGTATGAACGAGAAAATTCCATCGTGTTAGCATTGAACCCCTGACTCTTGTTTAACTGTAAACGAGATAGAATAATATATTTACCACGAAGACGTCATTTAAATGCTAATATATAATTAGAACAAGAGTAACGTAGAAAATATCCAAAGAAAACATAGAGCAACATGATTCAAATAATTTAGATTTAGAAACTGTTTTTGTCTAATATATTTAGAATGCCCTAAACGTGGATGCCTACTGTGTAAAATAATCATTTTTCCTGGGGGATATATTTTCTTTGATTTCGTGGGTAATATTAATCTTAAAAAAAAAATTGTATTTGGTGATTTATCAAGTGTTCACGTGTGAATTGAACCCCACGTAAATATATGCTTTTTCATCTATTTCCGGTGATTATATTCTGTCTACGAAAATAACACCTAGAACACATTGGAAACAACAATAGCTATAGTATTCGTGATGAATACCTTTTCGATTTATTGGTTTTGAGATATGTGTTCTTCAAGATTCTTTTCACATATATAAATATACTCAAGGGATTGAGAAACGCAGAGTAAAGTTTGAAGATAATTCTAGGCAAGACGTCGAGTATAATGTTCAAAATTTTAAAATGAGAATGAAGATCAATCCATACAGAACAAGCTGCAAAATAAACGAATTTGTATCTGGTAAATGATTTATGAGTAATTGAAGGGAATTGAAAGAGAACTCTGTCGTATGAAATCGAAATGGACTGATTATCAGAGCTTCTTCTAAGCATAGAGGTCATGAGTGCGTTTATCCTCCTCATTGGGAAGTTTGCCCATTTTTGCAAAAGGGATGCTCTCGGTTGGGCCAGAGTACAAGGGGAGGTTGGCGTCGTCGAACCCGCTTATCCAGTTTGTCCCACAAGTGCTCAATAGGGGATAGGTCAGGTCTGTATGGCGGCCAGTCCAGTGGGTGGATATTGTTGTTAGTGAGAAAGTCGCGACAGCTCCTCGCTTCATGGAGCCAAACATTATCCTGCTGGAATGTGAGGTTGTTTTGCTGCAATAATGGGACAATATAGGATCGGAGGATCTCATCTCAATACCTAGCGGCAGTTTGATTTTCATGTGAGATTCCTCTCCACATTAGAACTGACCCATCCCCAAACCTATGCGTCTCTACTACGCAGCAGTCTGCTAAACGTTCTCCACGACGTCGGTATACACAACGTCGACCGTCTGCTAGAAACAGGGTGAACCGGGACTCCTTAGTAAACAAGACCCGCCTCCACTGCCTCAATTGGAATACTCTGGAGGCATGTGCCGCTACCCATGCCATACGACGCTGGCGACGAGCAGCGATAAGGAGTAGACCAACAAACGGGTGACATGCCCACAGACCAACTTCCCGCAATTATTTCCTTACAGTTTTTGCATGTATACGACGGTTATGTGTACCTATGGTGCGTAGAGCAGATTCAGTGGCAGTAAGGTGTCAATTGCACCAATGCATGAGACGAATAGACATGTCCTGACGTTTTGATATCACGTGCGGACGTCTATATCAAGGTCTGTCAGCACGAGAACAAGACGTTCTATAGTGAAAATTTGGACACCGAAATGTCTAACAACCTGTAACAGTCTTTGACCTTGTATAATCAATGCAATGGCCTGATTTGTTTGAACTTCCGTCATTGTTCAATGCTATCAGAAATTAATCAAAATATCGGAAAATGACATGTTTCTATGAAGACCACCTTCACGCAATACAATAATGCAACATCGATACAGGACCACGTGCACTGTAATCTAGAGAGTTGCTGACAGATTTCCATTGTTTTTGAACAACGCGTTCGCAAGATATTGCAAATAATGTCACCCTGCGTTTCTTTATCCCAAGAGTATATCATATATGAGACTGAAAAAATGAATTAAATCGTCTTCTGTCTCATTTACGTGCAAATACAACTTTTTCCTATTCTTAGAACTTCCGGTCATAATGTCGATAACATTTAGCTATATAACACCTTATCCTCAACATGTACTGACCTTTTGAGTTTTGTGTCCATCGTGTGTTTCTGGGATTGGATCAAAACCATCGCCCCGTGCCTTTGAAATATAAATCATAACATTAGCAAGAGTTTTGACAACGATAATGATTATATAGGAAAGTAAGGACTAATAAAATCTGTTACATGTTACTGAGCGAGATCGGAGTATATCAGTCGACAACTAAGATCCTGTACCAAAATCTAATTTCATGACTCCTTACCTTAACTTGTATAACGCAAGTATACAGAAATCAATGCTATCTGTCAATCATATAATGACGACAAAGTCTTGAAACGATATTTAATAATGACAAAGAATGCACTTGTTCTAGATATAGACAGTTCGTTAAGTCTGTGCTGAAAACATACCTTATGACATTTGTTGTTTTCACAAACAGTCTCACTTTTCAACTTGTTCAAATCCTCAGCATTCATCTTGGGAAGGAAAAGTTACAATAAAAATGTACTCATTCACTTCACAGTATCTGTGTCGCTTAGTTTCTGAAACTTTTTACATTTTAATTGTATGATTGATGAAGGAATTTTTAGAGATTGATATCATTGTTTATATACAATAAACATGAAATGAATCAATATAAAAGCACAGGGTTTTGTTTTAGTATCACTAATATCAGTAGTTTAATACCCAGTAAACAAATTACCAAGTTGAATGAAGTCAAATTAAAAAATCCCACTACAGTCAAACCTCGTCATCTCGAACTATTATAACTTGAAGATCCTGTATACTTCGAAGCATTTTGTCGGTGCCAGTCAAACTGTACACTGAATATTCGATTTTATTTAAATCAATTACAATACGATAAATCTAAATTGTCCCATGATCCTACCGACTTCGAGATAACGGGGTTCGACAGTACAGCAAAATACTCACCACTTCAACTTTCAGATTTGTGCGCCTTTGTTGGTGTTTTGACTTCTTCTCTGCCATTTTGTCAATGATTTGTTTAATCCCTACGTCTTTGTCGTAGCTCTTTAGAAAACAAATAAAATAAGGGAGATAATTCAGAACACAACCCGCCATAGTTACAAAGGAATTTCATGGAATACTAAACTACTTACCACATCCTTATTGAGGTCTGTTCGCTTTTGTGAATCACTCGATTTCTCCTTCAGGAAATCTTCGATAACATTTTCAAGTTCACGTTCTATTTCCAACAATCCTGTCGAAATAATATTTTAATATATTTTAATCATTTAAAATGTTATTGAACATCTAATTAAAAATATATTTTGTGACAGGAGTATAGATGAAATTTATCAAACTGACCAATTTAACAGAATTTGAATTCTATATTTGAAAGATTCAAAATCCGTTTTGTCCCTTCTTTCCAAAAATCTTTCTTTCTATTTTGTAAATTTAAATGTAAGTCCACGAATCAATTAATTTGCATAAGATCTTCAATCCGTTTTGGCATCATAAGATATTTTGTGGAGCGATTCTTACATTTCATTATTGCGAGCCTTGGCGAGCAAAAAATTAAACTTCTTGACGAATTTCATAAATTCGCATATAAAACATAAAAGAAACGTTAAATACTTTTGATCATCTAACTCAAAATTTTGACATATTTTAAAGTGAAATTTTAGAGAACAAAATCCAATGAAGGCTGCCATGGTGTTCCGCCAATTTAATTTCATGACGTCAAGCCATTGTTTATATTACGTCATCATGGTCGATTCTGACTGATGCAGCCAATGAAAAACGTTCCAGGGTATACACGTATTACATTTACGACATAAACACAGAAATTCTACACGGGCGAATTTCCTAAAAGGCGAATTATAGGAGGAAATATAATGTATAATATAAAAGATAACCTTGAATTATTCTGAAATATAGTCGGGTGCATATATTGACTAAGATTTGCGCAATAGGTGTCATAGATGAAGCAGAAAAAGCTTGTCTTATTGTTCTTGTACCTGCTTTGGTTTGTCATAGTTTTTGTTATTGAATTTTAGTTTAAATTGTGATTCTGTTGACATTTTGTTATTTTCTTTGTTGTTCTAGTATGTCAGAATGAACTTAAAGTGTTGTAAAAGTAGATACTTAAATAAACTTAAAGTAAATGTGTTACAGCAATCAGCGGCTACAGGCACAGTAAATAATCAAGTTATTTGTCGAGGAAGAGTTTGACAAACGTTTGCTGTCTCAAAACAAATTTGATAATTCTATAAAATATAAGGAAAAAAGTTATACTCCAACAACACTGAAGACTGGAGCTTGGAGCATCATTCCCTTTGAACCCTCGTGCTAATCTGAAAAAAGTTTTTTCATCAATACCATAATAAAAACTTTTTTTTCACATCTATTTCGAGAAAATATTTTCAAATATCACTTTTGAAATACAATGCAGTAAAATATCACTTAGTTCAACAAATTTTACTTTTTATCGCTGTGCCATTAAATAGTATGTATATATCGGTAAAGGGAGAGAGCATGTTGCTATAATTAACATGATTTTTTATGTTTGGTCATTCACAGTTCACCTTATCATTGTCCAGCTTCCACAAATAATTGTATATTAATACTTGACAGGAAAAAAGTACTTTCGTTCGGAGTCATTTTTTTTAATTCAAATTTATTTCAGATATTGCCAGAAATTAAGCCATTGAATCTAGAGCTGTCCTTCAAAAAGCATAGCCCGAAGTCGAATAACTGAACTATAGTTGTATTTGATATAGATCTTGTATTTTCTGTACAGCATTGTACCTTTGTCCATTATTGATATGTAAAGGCGATGTCTCCACACCATAGATAACAATAATGTGTTCATACTTTTAATATCAACGAGATGACAAGTCCATTATCAGAAATACCTCTAAATGTTGCTGATCGTTTAAACAGACTAACTAGAAACTTTAACGAGGTACAACTGGGGCGATTTACAGGAAAGGTGATAGAAGAAAAATGACCGAATTTACAAGGTCATGTATCATGTACTCTAAAACATCTTATAAAAAATCAATGTTTCTATATTTACAAGATTTAGTTATTGGGCAATATACGAGGTTAAACAGATACACACACTCTTCCATCAAAAGATCACTCAATATCCTGATATCTTAGTGGAATATGGGTGTGATTTCAAGAAAAGGCTCAAATCAGAAAATTTACATATATAACATGTATACCCATCATCACTTTATTTTTTTCCATATTCGTTACATCAATCTGTCTTCCTTTCTAGCAATCCATAAGACTTCCTTGTAAACATTTAATGTTCGTGAATAATTACTATTAGGTGAACACGAAGTGTTAACACAAAACTCGAAAGCCAAGACATGCTAAACACACATGTGTGATTTTGAAAGCTTAATCAAAAATAGCACTTGGTGTCTGCCCGAAGCACTGGCTCTTCATGACAAATAAAAACAGACATAATTCGTCTAGAGTACAAAAAATCCTGTTGTGTATTCGTTTTACAACATTGATCTTCTTTCAAAACCATGAAAATGAATTCTGCTCTAGTTAAGGTCTCTTGCTGGAACACATAACATTTACATACCGAGACAGGGAGACTCCCATGTCAGGACAATGATGTGTCATCACAGTAACAATTCACTGACGTCACGTCAAAATTAAATCACGTTAACGATGCGACGCTTTCGGACATTAAAATAACATACAACCACCTAATAAATCATTCCCGTTTAGAATTAGATCCACTCATCTCACCCCCACGGGGGCGAAAGATTTTATCAAACTGCATCAACTTTTCCGGTGTTTTGTCGAACGCGTACATTTGTATCTTAACGCCTTCTTTTCGGGTTCAGATCTAAACGTTTACTGCACTGTGCTTTGTAGAGGTAGAAATTAAATATCCTTTCTCTAGGTGCTGTATTTGAAATTAGGCATACACATTCTTATTTTGAATAGCAATTCTGACGATTCCTCTAACCCAGGTAATACCTATGTTTGGGATCCAACAAATTTTACAAGTCAACGTAACTGTTGGAGTAATGAGTCTATCTCAACGAAAACACATCTGTAAAGAAAACTGCACAAATACTGATAACATGTGTCAAGCTAAATTCTTATTTTGAAATTATTCGCCAATGCAATGATGAATATCGATTTTTTCTTATGTTACATGCTCACAGATTTATTCTGTCTTTTTTTCTATTCTTGCTCTCATTGTATATCACTTTATCCTAATGCTGACAGCAATGGTTATCTACTACCCCTTGTTAAAAAGAAATTACGATAGGAATAAATTTATGTATTAAAACATATGAAATAAATATGTTTTAAGCTAAGAAATAAATATGACTAAATAAGGAATAAAAAACTTCCGTGTTACCACATGTAAACTAGTGTTTTGTTTGTAGCTTCAACAAAAACAACAGAGAAAATGCAGACGTGTGAACAGACGCAAACACAAATTCTATAAAACTAGGGCAAAGTAATGACAAAAAACGTTACACGGAGATTCCTAAAACACAACAAAAACAAAGAGAATATGACCAGGTGTTTGGGAAGAGTAATTGTCTTCTGCTTCATTGACGACACCCGACATTTAAATATTGGCTACCTGAGTAAGTAATGTCACGTTCCCAAATGAGAGCAAGGTAAACGACAGCGGAATTATCACACATACTAACGAGCATAAAATAAATACAGTCCTATAATAATTAAATTTTATAGAAATGAGCTTTAATTTAATATATCCAAAAATTTAAAGCTTCAAAATGCTTTCTTATTGAAATCAGATGTATTTGATTTAAACATATTTCATTGAACAATTTCAATGGAATTGGGCACCAGTTTTCCAACTTATATCACGCCCTTGCCCCCATGAGCGTTATAAGTTCCGATCCTATGAGAGTTATAAGTTCCGATCCTATGAGAGTTACAAGTTCCGATCCTATGAGAGTTACAAGTTCCGATCCTATGAGAGTTATAAGTTCCGATCCTATGAGAGTTACAATTTCCGATTCTATGAGAGTTACAAGTTCCGATCCTATGAGAGTTACAAGTTCCGATCCTATGAGAGTTACAAGTTCCGATCCTATGAGAGTTATAAGTTCCGATCCTATGAGAGTTACAAGTTCCGATCCTATGAGAGTTACAAGTTCCGATCCTATGAGAGTTACAAGTTCCGATCCTATGAGAGTTACAAGTTCCGATTCTATGAGAGTTACAAGTTCCGATCCTATGAGAGTTACAAGTTCCGATCCTATGAGAGTTACAAGTTCCGATCCTATGAGAGTTATAAGTTCCGATCATATACGATACACTACAATACAAGTGTATCGTATAGGATAGTAGAGGAATGACAATTACAAGGCTATGATAACCAAGAGCTTCCTGGTTTTGGTTGATTAATCAACGAATAAAACAAGTTTAAAGAAACAAAGTGTACGTAACCCCTGTTAATAATAATAATTCATGTAAATACTTTGGTTTGTAGCATTAAGTAGTATCTTGAAAATGATGATCAAATAATTTGCAGGTTTTGATGCTGAAATTTTGCTAAGGAGCCGATGCTAACACTGACGCCTAGGTCACCGTTACAATAAACGTAACCATAACAATTTTCATATCAGTGTTTCCACACTTGTTTCCGTATCAAATTCATTTGATATGTTTTTATGGCTACTGTACTGAATAAATTGAATAAAGTTTATATCAAACGTAACTATAAATAAAGAATGTCAAATGTTAATATTTTTTTATTTATCTATTTATTTATTTATTTATTCCTTTTTTTGTTGTTGTTGTTGCTGATGATGATTGTGCATAAATATTGTTATTTCAACTGAGGAGGTCAAATTGAGATAATAATAATTTTTTTCAAGCACATGGAAAGATTTGCACTATGTTGTCTTTGCAGACCTATGGTACTCCCAAAACAATTATCTCTAGCCAATCATGTACGAGGAAGTTATTTTCCTACTTTAACATGTGGAGAAATTTGTGTTGATATTAGTATTTATTCAGAATAAGCTTTTCCTACACACGTTTATATATACACACACATTTATCTCAAAACGTAACAGTAATAGAATATATCCAAGACATTCTATGTGGAGAAATCTTTACTCTGATTTAAGGGGAATCAATTTTTCTCTCACTTTCCTGAACCTTCAAAAATAAAATTTTCCATTCAGTGAGAAATCTCCTGACAAATCTTTACAAGGAAAATAAGTTCAATCGTCTGACTGGAATTCCCGTTACGTTAGTTTCGAAATAATTGAAATTTGTCGCAAGTTTGAAGTAAAACAAAAATGTCATTTTTACGGAATCAAAAAAAGTCTAGGGTGTCTCCGAAAAGTCATTTATTGCGAATTTTTTTCCATCCTGGGAATGTTGAGAAAATAACATTCCTCAAAATTAGCCACCATTACAGTATCAATAGCATTCAATTTACCATTGATTATAATGAATAAGCTCCGTGTTGATTATCACGCACAAATATTTTAGTGAAAATAAAAATGCTTCCATTTAAAATTGCCAATAACAGAGAGATAATGAAAAAATGATGAAATTAAATAACATTTACTAGTTTTTCAATTAAGCGTCAACTACATGGGTAATATATGTATATCCGGTTAATTGTGAAATGCCTCCACTGAACTGAATAATATATCTCATTATCTTTTAACTAAATAATATCTACTGTTAACTTATATATACAGTTTACTATATACTACATCCAATTAACTAATATTTCGCGTGTACTATAATACATTTCCCATTAACTTATATCTCCTATGTTTTTCCCTATAACTGCTTAAATCTCCTATTAACTGTATGAACCATAAACTGTATATTACAATCCGATAACTTATATCCTCCATTAACTCTATTCTATATCACATTAACTAATATTCCCGTTAACTTTGTATCATTTCCCACTAATAGTATGATTCATTAACTGTACATTATCTCCCATAAATTTCTATCCCCCGTTAATTCTATCATTTCCCATTAATTGTTCGATCAATTAACTCTATACTATTTCCCATTAACTTTATACTCCAATTAATTTATATCCCCATTGTTTCTATATTACCTCCCATTAACTGTATGATTCATTAACTGTACATTATCCCCCATTTTACCTCCCATTAACTGTATGATTCATTAACTGTACATTATCCCCCATTAACTTATATCCCCTGTTAGCTCTATATTACCTCCCATTAATTGTATGATTCATTAACTGTACATTATCCCCCATTAATTTATATCCCCATTGTTTCTATATTACCTCCCATTAACTGTATGATTCATTAACTGTACATTATCTCCCATTAATTTATATCCCCCGTTAATTCTATCATTTCCCATTAATTGTTCGATCAATTAACTCTATACTATTTCCCATTAACTTTATACTCCAATTAATTTATATCCCCATTGTTTCTATATTACCTCCCATTAACTGTATGATCCATTAACTGTACATTATCTCCCATAGATTTATATCCCCCGCTAATTCTATCATTTCCCATTAATTGTTCGATCGATTAACTCTATACTATTTCCCATTAACTTTATACTCCAATTAATTTATATTCCCATTAATTCTATATTACCTCCCATTAACTGTATGATTCATTAACTGTACATTATCCCCCATTAATTTATATCCCCATTGTTTCTATATTACCTCCCATTAACTGTATGATCCATTAACTGTATATATCCCATTAGTTGTATTTGTCCGAACATTTTTGTTTTCATGTATAAATCGCATCCACGCAAGTCAGTTCTACCCCAAAGTAAATTGACCAAATGATAAATTTCAATAAATTGCATGATTTAAATCAAATTGAAATGGCATAAGTTGATTAATTGAATGGAGAATATTTGTATTTATGACAGTGAATTTTCAAGGGAAAATCTAATAAATTGTAATGATTCTTACATGTATATTAAAAACGTATCAGTGATATATATATTGTGCACTGACCTCCATTGTTCGATAACGGTGACCCTTGTATGACACAGAACAGACAAGAAAATACTGCCAGCAGCATGCCGAAACCTCCACACCCGTCCATGGTCAGTTCCGAAAGTGACCACACTATTCCAGCATCGACTCATGGGTTGCGCGTAGCCAATCAGAGAACGATAAATCTTCCTTCAATATCGAGATTTTACATGTACCCGTTCAAATTAATATGCACACAGGTGTATCAGTCGGTGTTCGTTTTCAATGTTAAGCTCAATACTAGCGTCAACACTTCAATGAATTTGTGGCCCATCAATAACAAACATGTATAGGTGCTTAATTAACACGTTATATATTGTTGTAAATATTTTGAGTAACTTCCAAAACCGATTTAATTCATTCTCATTCACAATTAGTATAAACGTATTTATTGTTTTATTTACAAGAAAAAAACCACATATTGATCGTAGAAAATACTCAAGAAGGTCAAAAGTTCAACAAAAATTCAAAAGAAAATAATTCTGAGGAATAGATACATCCCTGGTGACTTGTCCGATTTTGGCCTGAAAAATATACACGTAATTAGATAAATTTACTATGGTAAAGAAACGTCTAATTAAAAAAAAACGAAAAAAAAGTAGGAAAGAAAAAAGACTAAATACAGTTTTAAAAGGTGAAAATCGTGACCGAAATTCATTATTTGACAAAATGACCAAAACAGGCATTGTGTATTTGAAAACTAAATATACGCCCAGGGCATATTGGTATATACCCAGGTACCCAGCCACACAAGTATTAGTATCACACCTCGGAAACGATAAGAGCAAAGATTGATTATTTAG